TAATTTTGTGTCCCGTCTCAATTCTGTGTTTTGCTATCGATGAACTTGGTTTTCTACCTCCTACATTAATCGGATCATTTGACACACACTGATTTTGAAGCCATCTGGGCACGTGTTCATTGCCAACTAGCCTTTCTAGACATACTCTTAAGTCGAAGGGATGATGGCACTATTAGACGGTCCGTGTACAGGAAACCAACTTGGACGGGACAATACCTAAATTTCCATAGTTTTTGTCCATTGCAATACAAGAGAGGTCTAGTTAAGTGCCTCTTTAAGAGGACTCGAAGAATATGTACCTCTGATATGGTGGAAAACGATGAAAAGTTACTGACTGACACTTTAATAGCAAATGGTTATCCACTCAAGTTTATTAATAGGTGCAAAAGTCAGTTAATGCCAAGACCTCTAATTTATTCAGTGCCAAAGAAATAAGGTCTATATCAATCTACCATATAGTGGCGAATCAAACAGTATAGTTTTAAGGCAGAGATTGAAAGCAGCCATCGAGAATACGTATTGTGCTGCTCAGTTGGTAGTGATTGAAAAGTCTAAGGCCATGATTCCTAATAGACCCAAACAATGCACTAATGGTTACGTCACATCCCATTGTATTTACCAATTTACATGTTCGTGTGAACACACATACATAGGGAGGAGTAATCGAACAATGCAATCAAGGGTCAATGAACATGTGCCCAGATGGCTTCAAAATCAGTGTGTGTCAAATGATCCGATTAATGTAGGAGGCAGAAAACCAAGTTCATCGATAGCAAAACACAGAATTGAGACGGGACACAAAATTAACATCAATACAGCATTTAGAACGTTGTATAGAAATTGTCAAGGTCGAATTCTTAAGTTTATTGAAGCCTTAGCTATTCGTAAATTTAAACCCCCCTTATGTGTACAAAAACAATTTGTCGTAACCTTGAATTTACCTTGGTAATTCTTAAGTCATTCTATGGCCTAGGATAACGTGACAAATTCTTATTCTTTCTCCCCCCTTAGTTATTTTAATTGTACTTTTATTTGTTTGACCTTTATTAATTTCCATATAAAAATGCCTTGACAAGTATATGTGTGACCAGATTGTTCGAAATGTATAGCGCAAATACATCACATCTTTCAGATCAACTCCGTCTTCTCATTGTTCTATCGAAATATGAACATAGTCAGACTTTATATATTAAGATGATTAGGAAGGAAATTAAATAAAATAGACGTAAAAAGTTTGAAAGATTCCACTTTGCTTTTCCGTCAATTAGACTGATAACGGAGCTTGTTTGTGTAAATCATTATTTAGCACACTGATATTCAATGGGTGACACAATCCACTTTCAGAAAGAAAATCATCAAGGAGACTACTGAACCCGGTTGTACTTTCACTGGAAGTCTGTTACACATGGTTGAATAGCGAATAATGAAAACATTCTGGCATAGGTTTGTGTAGATTGTCAGAATCGCTAAAATATTTTCCGTATTGGATAGTTTGTGGGATGATATCATAGAGTATGAAGGGTTAGATACCGGGGAATAATGAGCCGGTAGATAAAAAGAAGGTTTAATTTGATATGCCTGATCCAGAGACTCAAGTCCAGAGTGAAAAAGTAGATCAAAGCATGATTTGAAGTAGTGTTTCTTAAATTTACAAATCAGGAATTGAGATATTACATAAATTCCGTCAGATTAGCGCGCTTTAAGAGTAGTGCGTTACAGATAGGTGTCGAGTGGAAATGAGGCAATTAAAATGCACAACTGTCTCTAGAATGAAATAGTGCGGTAGATGTATCCATTTTCAAATGTGTGTGTTAAATTTAACATATTACTTCCTGTCTGACATTGATTAATTTTTGTCAACGTTATGTCAATCGTGATCGATGTTAATGCATAAGCAAACGAGAAGTGAAAGTAAGAGAGTCCTTTATGAAATTTTCGAGTAAATCCTTTCGAAAATTCGGTGTGAATATAGGCGACGGTGCATCATTTATCACTCTATTCCTGAACCGGGTCGAAAGTGTGGATTTTTCTAAAACTTTGCCCACTGACAGCAAATGACTGGGAATTATCACTTTTACTTTCTTTAAATTGTATACTTTACCCCAAAAATTAAAGTCAAGTCATCTACTGTCTGGCAGCCATCTACGAGGTAGTAAGTATGGGAGAACAACATCAATATTACCGGTTAGTTGTCTCACTCTGAACCTTAAGGAACTGTAAGCAAATAAAATGCTTCTTCATACTAACATGAGTAGATTAAGATCATCTTCTCAGCATCGTTTGTGCTAGCCGGAAACGCCACTCTCTTCCTTTTTGATGTCAGTTTCTCTTGAGGTTTTGGTATGAATCAATAGCTCTTCTGCACTAAGTTTTATATTGTATATCTTGTTGCAATACGTCATTTCTACAAAGACCATAATACAAGTGAATCAGGCAGCCAAAGTTTCCGTATTTGTGGCCAAATATCTGCATGTTTCACTACACTGTTATGACTTAACCAGCAAGGTAAATTCTGAGGTTCCGTTCACAAGCTGATAAGTTATTTAGAGAGCGTAATAATAGGTGGTCGATCGAAGAATATTCAACAAATACATAAGGTTATGAAGTTCATAAATAAATAGATAAGTATGAGAACGTTAAACCATTGTATGCCGATAAATCTGCGATATGGGAATTTCAGCGAGGCGTTTTAGAGATTTCAAGGTTACAGCTCCAACTTCAGTGCTTTATACTAACGTACGATCGGTTCACAGGGGATTTTGTACAAAGCGTGATAATTGAGCGGTTATGTGCATCGTGTCGTTATTCACAAGTAGCATTTTGTGCACTCAACGACCGGAGTGCACATAAACAATATTGAAGCTATGTGGTCGAGGCTGAAAGAGTTTTTGAGACTTCATCATGGCTCTAGAGGCCGACTATTCTGTAGCCATATGGATGATTTCCTTTACTGCATGCATTACGAAATTAGATCCTCTGAACGTCTTTCTAACCTTGACAAGTTTTTGAACCACGTATAAGAAGTGTATCCACTTTATTTCCTCGGTTTTGTATAACACATTTTTACTCTATACTGACTGTTTGCTTACTGGCTAATCTTTCTCAAGATCACTTAAGATTCGTTCAAAGGTCGTCCATAAATTAGATTCTCGCCGGAATTCCTAAATTGCTAGAAAATAAACTAGGAGGGATCCAAAATACTTCAGGGTAGTATGGGTTTCCTGTGATCATAAGTATTCAAACAACATTCATCGGTTCAGCAAGTTATCTCTGCTTCAGGCAAAAATTATGAAGGATTATGGGGTTCCATAAAAAAATAATAATTTGACCTCAAATATCATAAAGACTTGGGATCTGATATAAGGGATTAGACCAAGAGCACAGGAACGTGACCCACTGTGGTTAGTGGGAGAAAAAACATACATTTTGGTAATTATTTATGTATTCATATCAATGTCATTGGAAGTTTGATGTATTCATGGGCGGCCAATAATTATCTAAGACATGTGGCTAGATAGTATATGTTTCATGAAAAATTGCCCCGAGATTAACTGAGAGTTCCAGAAATAGTTGATAACCCTCCTTCTAGTCTAGAAACAGGATGATTAGTCATTTAAACTTGGTGATAGTATCATAATGAGGGATGAGAAATAGGAGCCTGTTCCAAATTAAAATATACCGTACTATAAAGAACTTACAATCTACTGGTTTTTGATGTTTTACAGTTATAGTATATACGTTGTTTATAAGTCTGCTAGGATGGTTCTGAATCATCATTGGGCGGGAAGTTAAGAAGGAAAGGCTATGTATTATTTTGCAGAAAATATTAGGTTGCTCACTAGCTGACGGCTTCATAAAGGTTCCGAGGATAGATATTTACACCTAGTTGTGTCATCGATGGTGGAGTCGTATCCCGTCTATATTTTGAAATGGTAAGAGAGATATGTTCTGCCAATGTCAGCCTCGAGTCTTCACAGCGATCTCTGTGTAGTTAGTATGTAGTTCACATGTTGAGTTGAGCATCTGAGCTTTACATTTGTTTAGGTAAAGTGGTATTCTAGAGTGACGTTCCTGATATAGCGGAAGGTTGTGTTTTTTCTTTCAGGTATACTACTATAATCCGTTAATACGATAATGAGACTAGTCACGTTATATCAGCTCCAGAATTCACGACCCCGAATAAAGAACCAGATTAACACTAGGTGGTACTTTATTCATTCCAGTGGAAGTCGTCAACTGGTATCTCATACGATATCCATGGGCTTTTTTCCAAAACAGTGTATCTTAGACCGTGATCATCACTAAATTATCGGTCACGCAAGTTCTTATGAAAACTTCCTGGACATTGATATCTTCTGGTATATGACCAAATACGAGTATTCCATTTTTCACAGGCAAATATTTGGGTTCAAGTAACCCATTTGAAGTACTGTAAAGATCCAATCTCTCTTTGGACCTGTTAATAAAAATTGCTGATAGTACGTGTTATGGTAGAAAGTTCCTGTAACTCTCGATTCTGTGTGAGAAGCGAAATTGCATACATGGATGATTTTACCTCAGTTGCTTAACTTTATGAGAGTGCTCTCTTTAATGGTCAGGTCTAGATGGAAGAAAAAAGATAGGACATATTAATACCAAAATTCAACAATTAAAAATGCATCATACAAGAGGGTAGTTTTACCTTGGTTTACAGTCTTTTTACAACCTGAATAGCAAAGCCTAATCCTGTGGCGCAACCACATAGATACCAAGGAACTTAATGGACCAATGGGAATTCTGCGCAACCTCGGTTGCATCGGGAAGTTTGATCAGTTTTCATTGGTGTTATTTTCATCTAGAATGGATGTGTATTACATTGTCGAAGTTTTAGAAATAATTCTACTTCAAGGTAGTAACCTATTTTTGGTTTCATTGTAGAAAAGCTGACAGTTAACTTCCCTTAGAACTCGGTCGCTGTCTGTAAAGCTATTGTTGCTTAAAAATTTTTAAAAAGTTCAATTATGAAAATTCGTAGTGGGCTGGTTTTGACAGCTTTAGCATCTCAAATATCATCGGCATTTGATGAATCATCACAAAAATATAGGCTTCGTCAACATCAATATCATCAACAGGATTCATCGCATATTACAGAATACATTTGTCGTGCACAAAAAATGGTGTACAGGTTTAAGGTAACTTAAACTTTACAATCTTCTATACATCTTGTACTTTAGGAAAAGGTGGGTTGTCCTGGTATGTCTGTATGTGTTTCATTATCAGGGAAGATTATTTATCAAGAAGGTTAGTTATTAGTTAATGTTGTCATAAAGAAGTATCACATACGATTACTGTTTTGTGAAATCGTATTTTAAATATGATTTTAGATAATCTAATGTTTATAAACTTTTTTGAAGGTGTTGGGTATGCCAATGTTGAGCATATGGTACCAGTAAATGAAAATACAGTATTTCGAATAGCGAGTATTAGTAAGCCCTTTACTTCATTATTGGTTGGAAGATTATTGGATCAACACAAGTTAGATCTTGACGAAGATATCCGATCCTATTTACCTGAGTTTCCGGAGAAAACAGTCAGTGGAACTTATGTACGTAAATATAACTTAAATATTTTGACTATCTAAATGTAACCAAAATATTTTTAAACTTTACCATGTAAATCCCCTATATATTAGTCCATATGTACCTGAGATGATGGAGAATTAACAAGCAATAGGTACAATTTAGAAAATGATATGAAGACATACGTTTATTCAAGGTGTTATAATTCACAGCACTGAAATGAAGTTCTATCAATTTGAGATAATAAAGATGGACGAAAATGATAATTGAAAATCTATTGTGTAAAAAACAAGCCATAGAGTGTGATATATATATATATATATATATATATATATATAGCGTAATAATACCTGTAGAATTGATAAATACAAATTGTTGTGATGGATTTTGAACTAAACCTTTAGATGTTCACAACCATCATTTTTTATTGTCTTAAATATTTCAGTCAAGTTGTCTACACCTCCATACACAACTCAGAAAAAGTCTTTAAATCTGTGAATTGATTATATATATTGCTGGCGTTAGCACTTTGAAAAGTTACCCCCGAACCAGTTGGCATGATACCGATGCTTTGTGGTTTGATATGTATAACATATATCTCAAAGACCTCCATCATTAATGCTTTACAATTTCATCATTTAACTTTTCCAAATGTGTACTTACTTAAAACCTTAAATCAGGTCGTATTTTTATCTCGCGGTAATAGGTTTTCTACATCTATGGGTAAACACGTGTTTCTTCTGCTTTTGTTAAGTAGTTTCCACAACTGTAATTAATACACAATGCACTGTTACTAAGTCTATCCATTTTTTTGATAAATAAACAGATAACACAAGTAGCCTGTTATTGAACGAACCTTGTTTCAGAATGCAAACTCATCAAACCTGACGAAATTAAATAATATGGATGATACACTCAAACGTGGTACTCCTTAAACTGTATGGCTGTGCACTCATGGCATTATTTTAAATGTAATTCTAAAATGTATTTAAGATAGTATTTTTTCACCTTGGGAAACTTTACTGATTAACTATCTAATTTACAGTGAATGGAATAAATCTAGGCTAGACAGTTGTACCGAAAATTACTAGAAGTATTTTTTCAGCTAACAGCTCAATATAAGCTATATGATAAACTTAACATGATCCAGGTCTGTCACTTGTTTTTCTCTCCAAGTTTGAATTATGCATATTTGATTGTGGTTCTAGAGCTAAGGAATCCTGTGATCACTCATTGATGTATATTTTGAAACTCTTCTCCGGCTACTGAATTTTAAACATTTGAATATAATGATTAGCTTCTTCTGATATTATGTAAATTATATGTGATTTATCACTTATTACTGAGCTCTCACGAGAGACTATTATTTCCCAGTTTTTCTTTCTCAATCATCATGTAATTAGCAAATAGAAATAATCTGAAAATATCAAAAAAATAATGACACCAAAAAAGGCAATTTCATTTGGATCAAGAACCCTTCACAAAGTATCTTAACATTTAACATCTTTTATAACCTCAGAAACTGAGACTTTAAGCAAATAAATACTGGAATTCAAACAATAAAAAAGTCGTGGATGCGCACTGCTGAGGAGTCTCGCAGTAGGATGAAACGGCCTTCCAGTGCTTCCAGGTTCAACATCACTTGGTTCGTCAGTCAGTCAGCTACAACGTAGAAACAGGCACATATAGGCATCGGTCCAATTTGTTCATGATCTCAGTCAAAAACTTAATAATCTCCACAACTCTATACTGATAGTTACCATGTGCTCACTAGTGACTAGCTTGGTGAGGGAATTCTCGGGTTTCTAGTGAGAAGCCGTGACCAGTGGAGCCAATCCGTATCGGGTAGAGACAGGTATCTACCTCAGTACAATAGAATATGGTCGCGCAAACTCGTCGATTGGTTCATGTTAGACATTAACACCGTCGGATGCCGGCTCAGTGGTCTAGAGGTTACACGTTCGTGCGCGAGACCAAATGCCCTAGGTTCAAAACCCGCGAGCGGGATCGTGGATGCGCACTATTTTAAATTTATTTTTGTAGGACTAGAGTTCTTGCTCGAGTGAATATTGACTAGAAATTTATTTATTTATTTGTTTGTTTATTTATTTGAACACAAATATTGGCACAAGAGAGCGCCAATATATATGCGCCACACAAAACAATGGGAATTTAAAGAGAAGGAAAAAGAAAAAAGGTAAGGAGCTTTAAAAAAGAGAACAATAACGAAGAGATTGGAGTAAGGTGGTGTAATAATAATAATAATAATAATAATAACAATAATAATAATAATAGTAATAATGGGGGAACAGAAAGGTAAAATCAGAAGAAATCTTTCAGTTAAGGAAGATACGACCACCGTTTACGAAGAAAGTAAAAGAAGGTTACAGCAGGATCGCCACTGGCTTCTATTCTGAGCCATATCTGATAACGTCTCTAGCCACTGTGTAGCACCATCTCTCGGACCCCAACCAGGGAGTCGTGAAGGACCAACACAAGCCAGTCCTTTGCAGCTTTCTTTCATGCCACGACACCATGTCATGCACTGACCACCTCTCCGCTTCTTCCAACCAGTCCCAGAGTCGGCAAATAATGCACGACGTGGAATTCTCTGGGACGACATTCGGAGAACATGTCCAAGCCACCGAAGTCGGTGTTTCAAGATGGTGACACCAATTGCATTATCATCTGTGCCCGAACACACGATGCCGAACCTCTGCATTACTGACATGGTGTTGCCACTGAATGTCAGCAATCCTTCGGAGACAGCGATGATCGAACACAGAGAGTCGTCTAACGTCCTCAACTCGGAGAGGCCAGGTTTCACAAGCATAGAGCAAAACTGCTCTCACCGACGCGTTGTAGATCCGACCTTTTACAGCCAGACTAACATCACGAAGGCGCCAAAGGTGGCCCAGATTGGCATAAGCCGCTCTGGCTTTCACTATTCGTGCATTGATCTCATCACTCACACCCCCACCAGCACTTATGCAGCTACCCAGATACACGAACTTCTCAACTACGTCTATCTGCTCACCATCCAGGGTGAGTACAGGATTGGAATCCTGCCAGTCTTGTAGAAGTACTTTGCACTTCGAAGGTGCAAAGCACATACCATACCTACGGACACTGATTGCCAACTGATTAAGTGCGGATTGCATGCCTTGGGCATTATCGCACAGTAAGACAATATCGTCCGCATACTCAAGGTCGAGAAGTCTTTCTCCAGGCAACAGATCCACACCACCATTACTTACATTCATCAGAGCTGTTTCCAGAATGTCATCGATGGCAAAGTTGAAGAGGAATGGTGAGATTGGGCAACCCTGCCTAACCCCACTGCTCGAATGGAACAATGGAGAGAGGTGGTTGTATGCCCTCACTCTGCCTGAGGTGTTTTTATATAGGGCTTTTAGGATGTTAATAAACTTCTCAGGCACACCCTTCTTCAATAGACAATCCCAGAGAACAGTCCTGTCCAACGAATCGAAGGCAGCCCTGATGTCAAGAAACACTACGATTGTTGGCCTTTGAAAAGTATGGCGGTGTTCTAACATTTGGCGGAGGGTGAAGATATGATCAATACATCCTCGACCAGAACGAAACCCAGCCTGCTCCTCGCGAGTCAATCTTTCTCGGGTTTTGAACAACCTACGAAGAATGACGGAAGCCAATAGCTTGGACGCAATCGGAAGTAACTTATCCCCCGATAGTTGTTACAGGAACGACGTGAACCCTTTTTAAAGATAGGGACAACTATCGACTCATTCCATGACGTTGGTACACTCTCTAGTTCCCAAACCTTTGTAAACAACGTCGTCAATTCCTTAGTCAAAAAGTCACCACCATCTTTAAAAAGAGCCGGAGGTAAGTCATCTGGGCCAGGTGATTTGTAACGCTTCAAGAGTTGGAGTTCCTTGCGGACTTCCTCCTCATTTGGTGGATCAGTCGTCACCGGCCATGGAGGGCAGGACAGTCTGACCGATGTTGCCGGAGCAGCAGGCCAGTTGAACTGCCCTTCGAAAAATTCTGCCCATCGTCCAAGACGTCGATGGATGTTAGTGATTGGCATCCCATCATCCTCGCAGATTGTTTCACTCACACCAGACTTCTTGCTGCCAGTGGCTCGGATGAGCTGGAAGAGCTTCCGGTAGTTACCAGATGCAGCTGCTGCTTCCAGCTCATTAGCACGCATCGACCACCAGGCTTCTCGGTCCTTACGCAAGCTTTGCCCAATTTCCTTACGTAACATCCTTCGTTTATGGTCAAACTCACGGTCACCCGGAGTAGACCGACGGGCTTCAATGAGTTGTAAGGAACCAGAAGAAACCCAGTGCTTAAAGCGGGACGTTTCGCAAACCCACAACTGACTGTTCCCGCCATTTTCATGGCGTCATGCAATTGCAACCAATGCTCATCTATACTTTTCGGTGGAGTGGTAGCTAGCCTAGAGGCTAGCTCGGTTCGATACTTACTTGCAACAGAAGTTGCAACCAGCTTGCTAACATCAATCCGTTGATGGCGGTCACTTCGTTGTCCACTGAAAAGTAAGGCAAGATTGGCGCAGACCAAGGCATGGTCAGAGTCCAGATAGGTACTTCAAAAGGAGCGGCAGTGCCGAAAGTTAGTGCTAGCCAGAAACAGGTTGTGGTCTGCGCAGTAGACGGTCCCCGTTATCTGACCTGCGACCAACGAGTCCCCATCGGCCACCTAAACGACTCTCTTCTGTGCCTAGACGCCCGACCTGAGCATTCAAGTCTCCGGCTAGTACTACAATATCTGTCGAACGCACTTTCTGGAGAAGAATTGATAACTGGTGGTAAAACTCATTCTTGATTGCATCCGGGCTGCAATCTGTCGGGGCATAGGCGGAGATGACGAAAAGACATCGTTTCTCACGCCGATCTCTTCTCACTTTGATGGAACTTTCTAATCTAACAGCACATAACTGACTGTTAATTGGGATCCAATCGATTAGTGGTGCCTCAGCTCTAGCGCTTAGTGCGACACCAACGCCAGCAAGACCAGACGAAGATGCCACAGGGTCCCCGGATAAGCGCACGTAAAACAAGCTTTTTCAAGCGACGGATGGAGAGCGAATTTGTAGTACTTCACCAGAGTCTTGAATACGGGTCTCGGATAGACAGCAGACATCGATATTAAGACTTTCCAAAGACATAGCCAGCCCTATCTGTTGTCCGACCTGCATAAATGTGCGAACGTTGAAGGCAGCCAGTTTGAATGGTGCACGTGGTTTCAGAAAAACTGCTTCAGTCCTCATATTCGGTGGTAACATACAATTTTCAACCGGACAGTGACTCGAGAACGCTTAGATACAGTCGAATTTCCACCAAAGACGAGCCACTGTATAAGTATAAAAGAGGGTGAATAATGTGGTAAATAATAACATTAATAATAATAATCATTTGATTGTTAGTTGGAGCAAGTAAAGTAGTTTCCATAATTATAGGCATTTCATCATTTGTGTGTGGGCTGTGATACTGCCCGGGTGCCCAGACCGAAGCAGGTGGTTATCTTAGGGGGCCACACCCCGAGCCTTTGACCTAAAGGTCTAACCCACAAGGCAGTGGAGCGTCGTAAGGAGATGCAGTCCCATGTTAGCCGGTGACCGAAAATTGGTTCATGCGCCATTTGTTCCCGCAGGGTACTGCGGCCTATGTGCACCATTGATTTGGGATCCGGTTAAAGCGCCGGACATTCGGTTTTCGTCCTCTGAATTTCGTAAACAACACCCCCGTCACGAGAAGGCAATGAGTAGGACTTCCCTGGCAGAGGCTATATACGCGTGGCCGTGTGAGAGCTTTTCGACAGGGAGAGCGGACTCTCCCCACTCTCGGCCGTTCCAGGGCATTTGGGGGCAATCCTATTGTGAAACACAAATATGAATCAACAAAGCATCATCTGGATTTCGTAGTGTAGATGTATGTAAAATAATATAAATATATTAAGGCATAGAAAAAGGTTTTTGATTTGACAGAAATATCAAATGTCAAATAAATTAACTTTATAGTATTAAAAGATGCGTACAGTAAAAACTCCTTAGTACAAAGCTTTTATTTAAAACGTACACTTATATTAATCTGTTCGTTCCAATAATATTTTATTATGTAAGAACAAAAAATTAGAATCCTGTTTAATCTTTATCGTACTTATCATTTTTTGTTTGTTTGAGCACAATGTATTAGGTTGTAGTATACAAAAAAATATTGGAACCTTTTTCATAGAACTTAATGTGTTATTGTTGTTAAACTATGAAAACTGTTTGTTTTTTAATCTTTTTTATAGTTTTGATTTGTATACAATTGTTTACTTAATTGAACTCGTGAACAATTCACACTATGTTCGTTTGTCGTGCTGACTGAACATGGATATACTTTTTGCTTTCTTTTGACTGTATGTTGTGTAAGTCTGCTTACTCTACCTTTCTTTGCAAACTGCTTGAAATACTATATTCACCAAACCATCGTTGTCGATTTCATTTTTTTTCTTACTGATGGAACGTACCTCAAAGGTGTTGTGACGTAATTTAAAAAGATAACGATTAGAGTCAGATCAGTCGCCAGTTAAGCCATCCAAAATGGAACTGGTGTATTCATACATTCAAGCAAAATTCCATAGTCTAGATTTACGTTGTATGTGTTTAGCGCGGTAAAAATATACTCTTTAACAATTAATATGTTAAACTTTTAACAGTCAAGAAAAATATCTAATTACTTGTTTATTTTATAATTTTGGAATTAGGCAAAAATAACTGTTCGATCATTGCTCAACCATACCAGTGGTATTCGTAGTTACAAAAAAATTTCAGATGAAAATAAACAATCCGTAAGTATATTAACAATTACAATTTATGTACAAGAAATATTTCATTGGGACCACGTTTTAATACTTCAAATATGTGTGTTCACAAACCAAGATCCTATGATTCTCGTTTTAAATTAATTTCAGAAGGGGTTTTGTAGGTATTATAGTAATTTCAATGGTTGAGATCATGAGTCGGTTGAAGGTAGACCACCAGTGCTTCCAGGTTTTCCACGGTGATCTAGCTTCAACTGATTCATGATCTCGACCATTGAAATTAAAGTTATTTATCTTAATTAAAAAGATTTCGATAATTAATAGTTTTATTTCAGTACGAAGTCTATACTTGAGTTTGAACTAATAGAATTTATTCACATTCTTCACTGTTTACTGAAATGAAAATCTGATACTTAACATTTTTTAAATTGTATAGGACAGTTACTTGACAAATGAGACCAAAAATCTGTCCTTAAGAGTTAATTTATTACTGTTACTTTTAATATAAACATGTTAGTGTTTTTAGAGTATTCCTTAGAATATTCTTGTACGTACAAACTCAAGTGAACAATCATTCCTAAGACATACAATTTCTGAATGTTTTTGACTGGTCTTAAACTCACATACTCACATGTGTCTATTATCGTACATATTTTCCTGTCTATCAAAGTCAGAGTTTAACACTTCATTTTTATTTATGAAAGGAGTGATTGTATTTTATTTGTTTTCATGTTTAGACATATTAGACTTATTAGTAGAATTATCATGCAACTAGTTTGTCTTTTGTGTGATTGATGAATAAAAGCAGTAAAAACGTGCCTGGATTTCTAAAATATTTGAGCATGACATTAAGAGCAAATCTCTGAGATGCTAAAAAAGTGTTAATATCAACTAATAATTCAGTGCTTTGTCAAGTAATCTCGCAATGAAATGTTAAAATGATTCGATGTCCTGTAAGTAGGTGATGAGCTTTTAAATTATAACAGGTATCTCAAGAAATTATAAACACCTTTTATATCTAGTTCTTTTTCTTTCAACTTGAGGTCCGAGAATGTATTTTTTTAATAATGGCCAACTGAGAAATGATTTGAAGACAACAAGCACACATATAGTTAGGCATTGTTTGTGCTACTTTCATCCAAATATTTATTTTTATTGTTATTTGATTATATTTAGGCGTATCCAGAAATGTTAAATACTGTTCGTTTTAACGATACATTAAATGCTTGTGATATGTTTAAAAATGATGCATTAGTTCACGCACCTGGTATTGAATACACCTATAGTACATTTGCATTCACTTTATTATCAGCAGTTATTGAAAAAATTTGTTTAAACAAAGGTAGTTTATTTGATCAACCATTAGCAACAGTTAAAGGTGAATCAAAGTCATCTTGTGAAAACGAAACAAAATCTATAAACAGTTTACCGAAATGGGCAAGATTTGATACCAATCTTTTAAGACTTTTTCAATACCTCAATTTGAATAATACCTGTTTAGAGTATCCTGAGAAGATAATTTCTTCAAGAGCTGCGTAAGTTCTGTTTTTTAGTTTACTTTTTATAAATGCGATTTGATAAATGCTTTTTCCATCTATATAAAGTGAAGTAATATGATACGTAATGTTTGTCAATTTGATATAATCGACAGAGGTCGGAAACTAGTCAGATAACTAAGCATAAACCATATATGACCTTGGCACAAATCTTCCGATCCAGTTCACCATACTTTTCACTAGTAAAACAAAAGTGATAGTTAACATTATGAAAAAAAGTAGAGTGGATATAATGACATCAATTACAATAAAGGTATGAAATAATTTTGTTGACTCAGTAATCAGTAATGATGAATTAATGCAGTCTAGGAAAATAACGTCGTACAATATTACGTTCACTGTCTATATGTAGGGTTTTATTATTTCGAAGCACTCTGTGGCATCTAAATGGCGCGCTAGGTACAAACAAGTCAGTAATAAATTAGTATGCATAAGAAACACGGTGTGGAGAAATTTATAAAATCGACTTTCGGAAAAGGGTTAATTTACCTTTCTAAGCGCTAATGTACTCCAGCAATTTCTCGGAAACCAGTAGTTTTATTGTCTATTTAAGTCTTTCGGTGATACATAAGTATTTAGTAGATTCAACTACATGAAACATTGTCGAGATATCTGAACTGATGTATACTACATCTTCAAGTCAGAACTATTCATAAGAAGCTAAAGGTTTTTAGCAAGTTCAACAACTCTTGAGGGACTTCAGTCCAACATCCGTTTAATAGGCGTGTGGATAGCTATTGTGCCATGTTTGAAGAGATTACGAGAGTACCTAAAATCGGCGAATGGAACGAAGGATCAGCAACACAACAAAAAGACAAGCTAAACTATCCCGATGTGTCCCAGCCTTGCTAACTAGAGGGAGAAGATCAGGTTCAGATGAGGGAAAGGTATATTCCACAAGCAGTCAGAAACATAAACGAACCAAGCACACAACTCAAGCGTATATATACAGTATTAAAATATCCTTTGGGAATGCCAAATGATAGCGTATGAAAAGAGGGAACAGACCAATGACATTTAAAGATCTATCAAGCGGGAAACACAATCTGAGGGTAAATATGGGGGCTTTCGGCGCGAAAACGAGAAGTTCAAATTTCCAAAATAAAGTTACAAAAATAAGACTTTTACCAACTGATTTCTGGGGATCTAGCATTCACATCAGATCGAAATAATTTTTTCCACAAAATTACACAGATAGCATTGTATTCTACTTATTACCAGTGAGTCGATAATCACTTTGTACCGATTTTTATTTTAAATGAAATTATTTTATCTTTTCCAAGCCAGTATTGTCGTTCCGATAAAGGCATACTTACAAACACTCCCACAATTGATAATTCATATAAATGGGCTGGTGGAGGTATTCTTTCTACAGCTAGTGATCTAATTCGCTTAGCTGATCATCTAGCATTTATTTATATGGGTTGGCTTGAATCATATGGAATTGTTAAACAGTCTACTTTGAATCAATTATTATGGAAAGTTTCTTGTGTACCACCAGATCGAAGTACATTACCTGGACTGGGTTGGTTTTTAGCCAGGTAAGTTTCATAACAATTTTTTATTTCGTCATTTCTCTTAACTCTATGTATTGTTTAAATGATGTTTGTGTATAAATTATTTTATTTTAAGGCAATATTTCACAATAGAATTGAATAAACTTAAAATAATCAAAATGATTTTCAATATAGTTAAATATTTAACCGGTAAATTATTCATCAATATTAAACTAGATGACACAATATGTATAATTCCTTTCGACATCGCTATGTGAATCTAATTATTAGAATTCTTTAAGATTCTTTTTTCTAAAATATACTTGCTTTTAAATTTATTTATTTGAACAAATAAGTGTTGGTACAAAGTGGCACCGAATACATATGCGCTATACAAGTCACTTGATTTGTGTATGGGCTGTGATACTGCACGGGTGCTCAGACCGAAGCAGGTGGTTTTCCTGGGGTGCCTTCAACCTAAAGGTCTAGTCCACAAGGCAGTGAAGCAACGTCAGGAGATGCAGTCCCATCGTAGCCGGTCACCAACAACAGGTTCATACGCCATTTGTTTCTTTCAGGATCCTGGAGCCCACGTGCACTATTGGTTTGGAATCAGGGTTTCCCAACTCCCCTAGGTGGATTCTCCGTGTCCAGCAACCTGGTTAATGCCACGGACATTCGCTTTTCTAACTTTCAATTTCTTAGACAACACCCCCGCCGCGAGAAGGCAGTTAGTAGGATTTCCCTGGCAGTGGCTGTATACGCGTGGCCATGTGAGAGCACTTCAAAAGGGAGAGCTAACTCTCCCCCCTGTCAGCCGTATCAGGTATCCAGGGGCTTTTAAAAATATTTCGTGTTTATAAAGTATTAGTAAATATCCATCCATACATCATTCCGCTACTGATAAAAAGCACAATTCATCTGTTTGACTACTGAACTTTCTTGTTTTACATAAACTGTTCAATATATCGTTAAATGCTTTTCTAACTTTACACTTATGAATTGTCATCTGTCAAAATTCAAACTGGTTTAAAGGAAAAAATTGCTTTGTTAAGATTATTATTTGAATGGAATAATGTTATAGCCAGGATATGAGATTTCATTATCTGCTAGCATAAAAGTATTAAATTGTATCGAACTGATAGAAAAACAACCTATTCATATTTGTATGCCAAACACTTAGTCTACTAAGGAGATCGCCTTACATAAATATTAAAATTTCAATGAAATTGGAGTCGTCGAAACCGGTAGTATGTGTAGATTCCAACTATAAACATGTCTAAACACTATTCTATCCAACATAAAGTGAAAACACTATTAGGAAAATACATTCAACATAATATATTTTGCGATAAGTTTGTATTTACTATGTGCACTAGGCAATAGAATCAATCGATTACGTAAATTTTGAAAGGTTGTGTCAGAGTTCGAACAAATGATCTAATGGATAAATATTTATTCACTCATTCAAAGCACTACACACAGCTAAGACTTATAAATGTTTTATTCCTTGTTATTAATACGTTTTATGTGTGTGGACTTTTTTTCTTCTTCCAGACGTTCAGGTGATCCAGCAACTAAAGAAAATGGATACCCTGACCGATTATATGCATTGCATACAGGTGGTGCAGTGGGTGGTACAACTGTTCTTCTTCTTAGTCTCCCTTTGTTATGTAATAATGATAATATTCCTAATAAGACAAATGAAGGAAACACTTTTTCTACTACGGATCATAATCATAATTTCATTTCATCTGTACAAAATAACACTGTGATAATATCTCCAGTGAATAAAATATATCCAGTGGATGTTCGAATAAAAGCAGCCAATATTCCGCCAATTAATGTGGCTATCTTAACTAATTTAGAAAATGTTTCTGGTATGTCAGAACTAGCTATACATTTATCGGAATTATTTTTGGATTATGCTATAAAATTAAAAGAATATGAAGATGATGAAGAAATAGAGAAATGTTGATTCAAGGAGTATTGATCAATTTGAATATTATTTTTTTTGCTCTCTTTTTGTTTGTTACCTTGTAGTTTCGATTATATTATCTTTCCTATTGAAAAGTTTACTGGATCATTATAACAATATCTGTGCGTGATTTGATAATAAGTAACATTTTCTTATGCAATTCGATAAATTGAAAGAAAAGACATTTATCAATATCTGACTAAACTATTTATTTCTGTACAAAGAATGAATAAGACAGTTCACTTGATGTCAATATCCGAATTTTGTTTGGTCTTCGGGAATTCTTTTTTGTAATAGTGAATGTTTATTGTCATATTAACATTCGAAATTCCATTTAATTCACAGATTTTTCTTCATTTTTTAAAATAATTGCAAATATTTTGAAAACAATCGTTTCTGTATAATAAAAGGATACTCGTAAAATACAAGTATTTGATCACAGATGTTTTAGAAATATTGCTCGCATCTGCTGGGATCACCGGGTACGTAATTGTGAGGTTAGACACAGGGTATTAGGGAATGATGGTAAATCAGTTGATGATGTAAATCTTCATCGACTGAGATGGTTGAGTCATGTATTACGCATCTCCAACCGCCGACTGCCGTACTGCGCAATGCTGATTAGTGTTGTAGATGGATGGGAGAAAGTTATGGGGGCCAAACCAAAATGTGGCATCAGTTTATAAAGTCATTAACTTCTGGTCTGAGCCATGTTGGTAGATGCAGACTACTTGGTTGGGGGCCGCATAACTATCGTAACTAGTTGTCGGAGACTGTGTGATAAGGCTCAAAATCGATCGCAATGGACTAGGTGTATACACTTTTTGTCTTCATTTAAACTGTGAAATTAAAATTACTTTATACCTTTTTACGAACTGATTGCTTCTCTGGATATCTTATCCTTATATACAATCTTTCTTTTATATATTACCACCATTGAATTAACTACTTCTATGAATTCGGTGTTCATCTTGCTGTGCTAATGAGGTATGGCAACTTGGACCGATGCATATGCGTGCCTGATCCTACGTTGTAGATGTCTGAGTGACTGAAATAATATCTAAATAACATATGTTTAAATGTACCAAGTGTATCAACAATGTTACTCATAAAACGTTTAGCAGATATACAAGCTATGAAGATGATAAATACTTACGTACATATTTTAAAGATCTAGTATAATACTTCTTGGTTAATGTCAATTTAAAGTAGTAACAACCTTTAAGATTAACTTGTCACAGATCTCTTGATTAAATTAATGCATTTTAAGCCAAACAGAGTGCAGTGAATTATTGTTCACAATTTACGTAATAACTACTTTCTTGTTAACAAGATTCCAACGTTTGACAATCTGCAGTGAGCTCTTTCAGATCTCATCTTCATAATGGTTATCATCTCAAAAATGATACATAAATAAATTGCTGTCAAGTAGTAGTAATTGGGCAGCTTTATTTTTATTCTGATAATTTCTCTATAGTGTCACATAAAAATTTGTTCGAGTAGAATTTTACATGTGGTTGTTTTTTTAAAGTGTCATTGATAGCATTATGTTATAGTTTCATTTTTGAACTCAAATTACTCTCCAATGAATATGTCCATTCATATTTTGTTATACCGTTCAGTTATTATGTTTACATTTTAACTAAATCTACGCCTAAATTTTCAAGTGTTTTGAAATCATTTGAAACAATCTATCAATGATCCATTCTACTGCGTTTCCAAGATACTTGAATTTATTGGAGAAAGACAAAGTTATCAATTTGGAATATTTGACGCTCCGGATATTATCTCTGAATGCTTATATAGATTAGTGACAAGCGTTTTCTAAATAGTTTTTCATGGTTACGGAAAATTATTTTAAGAAATATTGGATATTGTAGTTATTGCCCATCTCCAATTTTCCAATTCAGTAGTCGATCGTAAGATATTTGGCATGGCGTCAATTTAATTAAATTCTAGCCTCAAACAGTTAATTTGATTGTTTATCTCGTACTAAAATAATGACTTCTTATAATTGGCATTCAACATATACAATTTATTTTACTTACTGCAATCGTTCCAGTAAACTGAATTAGAATATATATTTATGTACTTCTCTGTAGTTGAATAAAACATCATGCAGTTATATCCGATACTAAATTAAAACTATGTGCTAATTTAGAGGAAATTATCCAAAGTAAAATGCAAAACAATTCGTAAAAATTATATTCATATATTCACAGGTACAAAGATATTTAACTGTAATGACCATTGCTATTTCGTAATTACATCAAGTAATGACGGATTCATTTCGACGGAAATGCTGTCAACAACAACAACAACAAAAAACAACAGTGAATGAAAATAGTTTTAGTTAATGAAATGATCATGTTAAATGAAGGAAACTCAAAGTACAACTTTCTTAATTAGTAACATTTTGAATTGATTACAAATTTATCTTATGTAACATGTGGTGTACACCTTAAACCAAATATTCTGAGTATTTTATGTACAGTAGTTGCATTTCATTAGAAATGGTGATTGCGCAATGTATGTTACAAAACAAAAATGAACATCACTAAGCGACAGTCATTGTTACATTATGTATTTACTGAAATCTACCAATCATAGTTCTCTGTTTGAATGCATATATATATATATATATATATATATATATATATATATATATATATATATATATATATATATATAGCTAAATACTTAATTTTATTGACTAACATTGATATCACTTTCCGCTGCAAGTCCAATGGGAATTCAAGAGAATTGATCATTTGGAGCAGTGGTTAAATAGCATTAGCGGGTTGATTAGAAACTCCATTTACTATAATTCAGGTAGTTGCATAATAACACCAGGGGTTGTAGTGCTATAAAAAAGCAGTACAAATCCGAGGTCTTTTTTATCTACATTAGATTTTTTTACCTCTCTAAGATTATTTCCTTCATTGAAGGATATAACCAGAAAATTTTTGAATACCAAATAAAATTCTACAAATCTTTTAACTTACTTGAGAATTTTTAAATTCCAAATATAAAGAAAATAATAAGTGTAATGAATGTATTCGATTGTTGTAAACTGGAATGTCTAGAAGTGCTTTAAAAAGATGGAAGATTAGAAGGTAAAGAAAGAGATCATCATTAAGAAATAAATGAATATAATTCAACTATTAGATCATCAAATGAGACAGTAAAGAAACACTATCAATTATTTGTGCATTCTGTAAACAGTTTTGATGTTATGAATAAATATAATAGATTTGTAATATCCCAATGAGTAGAAAAATTAGATTTTCTGACGTTTCGTGACATAGTGCTTAAATTCGATTCTATTCACTTTTAACGGGATGTTATACAAACAAACTAACGGTGTAGCAATGGGATCCCATGTGTCCTCGATTGTAACCAACCTTTTAATGGCACACATAGAATCAAAATATTTTCACCCACGACATTAAACCACGAATTTGGCTTGGATATGTAGACGATACATTTGCTGTGATAAAAAAGACTCATCTAAGATCTTTTTCAAAAGGGATAAATACTCTTTCATCTCACATCAAATTCACGAATGAAAATGAACATGGTGAACTACCATTTTTAGATTACTTAGTGAAAAGAAATCTAAATGGAATTCTGAATCTATCCATCTACCGAAAGCCTACACACTCTAATCGCTATATTGACTTCCATTCTGCACATCCTTTCGGTGCCAAGATCTCGCTAGCCCTAAATCTTTTTAGGAGAGCTAACAGATCATCACATCAGAAGAGGATAAAAACAAAGAACAAGAGAATGTAATTAGTATCTTACAATTTAATAATTTTCCTATGAAGATTATCAGAAGCATATTAAAACAAAACAGTTCATTACATTATAATAATGATTCGAATGAAATGCTATGGATTTGTACTGCAGTTCTACCATACCGTCATGGCACAACAGAAGAAATCCTAAGAATCTTAAAACATCGCAGAGTTAAAGTATACTACAAAACAACGAACACACTTCGAAATACGTTAGTTCGCCTAAAAGAAAAAAACCCTTTCATGTCTACACGGAACTGCGTCTACAAATTAGGTTGTATCGATTGTGATGCCTTCTATATTGGAGAGTCATCTCGCGAAATCTTGACTCGTGCCAAAGAACATATTAGGTACACAAAGAAACCTCCTAGTAATCTCGTAGAACTGGATAGACTACAAATTAAATCAGCAATAGCAGTTCATGCCATTTTCAACGACCACCAAATTGATTTCAAAAATATCAAAATATTACAAAAAGGCTTTTCCAATTATAAAGAAAGGAAAGTAGCTGATGCATTCCATATAATGCTTAATTCTACTGCTCTCAATAGAAAAGAATGTCTTACCACACATCCTACTTGGACTATCTATCCTAGCCACCTAGTTTGATATTATTAACAATTCACACTATCATCTTACAAATTAAACTCTATCCTTTCTCACCATAAAGGTGATCATATGCTCATGATCATGGAATGGATTCAGTAGAAACCTAGGAAAGACTTCAAAGCTGTATAAGTTGTGCAGATGGGGACATTATAACTGTATCGCGTTTGATTAGTTGAGATTTGAACGCAGCTACTATCGAAGTGTACTTATTAGTGGTATTGATAAGTTAACTAGATCGGATTGACATCTTATAATCTCTGTGTGTGAGAACTTACAATGACAGCAGTGTGTTGTACCTATTTTACGCATACCGTGGTAGCGCCTATCTTGATATGTAACACTATCCGCATTACGTGAAGAAAAGAATAAATTTCAGAAGCATCAGGGCTAAATATAGTACTCATTTCTGAAATCATGAAATCTTTTTATAAGCTTTGTAAGACAATGTGTTCAACTTAACTGTAACTCCTAATCTATTAAAGACTGAACAGCTCAAATGAAATAAATCTTTTCTTAAACTCTTCAACATATTGTTTCTCTATACATATTCCTTTGTCTAATACTTAGAATCTTTATATATTTAGAGAATGGTTTTTGTGGATATTATAGTAATTTCAATGGTTGAGATCATGAGTGAATCAAAGATAGACCAGGTATTTTCATGGTGGTGTAGCTTCAATTCACTCATAATTACATAATTTCAACCGATACAATTATATTATACATTCTATAATATTCTGTTCGTTTATTTATAAGTATCAATGAATTTTAGATGTAGTATTATGGTTGCATGAAAATCGTTAATTATCAACAGATTAGAGAAACTTCACATGAAATGTATAACATAAGATCATGATTCATAATTTTGTTACACATACCACAGATTATATCTACATAATCTTTTAAACTACAATCCAACTCAGATAGTGATAATTGCATATTATTTATGGTTTCTTCAAAAGATGTTGGCCATACAGCCATAAGTTCAGATATTTCTGGCATGTTTCTGTAAAATTGGGAATAAATCAATTTCTTTTAAAAACAATGTTGGATTTGATTTAAACAAACCAATCAATATTATGTTGTGAGCACATCCATTATATATATCTAAGAATAATACCAATATAACATTTGCCAATCAGTTAATGAGAGATTAGCTTCTGACAGACCTAAAAATAATATGATTTCAATGTTATCTCATTATCGTAAGAACTTATTGCTGAAACTTAACATAACTGGAAAGGTAAAGAGTTGATTATTCAACGGGTTCTTAATTAAACCTATTACTAGTTTACCTCTTATCGACTGGAATTAATCAATAAATGCGACATGTTACCAACAGTAATGTTGTGCTCACTAGTGATTGATTTCGGAAGGTAATTTCAGGAAACCTACTGATAAGTTGCAATCACTAAAGTTAAACTACGTTAGATATTATTCAGTTACCGACAATGGGATTGAGTAATAGTTGCGTAATACATTGAATCAACTGGTTTTAAATACAAATCACTGAATGCTAACTCACCAGTCCTAAAGTCAAGCCCTTGGTATAAGACTGGCAGTTCCTAGCGTCAACTCTTGATAGGGTTGTGGATATGCACCGCTGAAGATTCTCATACAAGAAAGAAACATCTGGCCAATATTTCCTGATTTTCAATGGTTACCTACTTCTATTCACTCAATGATGTGAACTATGTATAAATTTCATTAACATAAAACGGGAAATTGAATTTGATATACTTTTCTATCTACCAACTAAAATATGGCAACACTGATTCATTAAATAATCAGATAGCTACCTATATACGGTTCCAGGTCTTCATTGGTTTTTCTTCAAGTAGTAATCAATCTCATGTTGGTTTAGTCCATATTGTGGTGTGTGCTACTTATATTGACATAAGTAGCATATGATGTTAGTCGTGAACGGAAGGTCTGGCAGCAGAGAGACAGGAGGACCGAACAGTAAAGAATGGAAACAGGATGCAATTTGTATGAAAATACAAGAACAATGAAGTCTGGGCCATTTTGAGACAATTGGTGGTCATTTTGCAAATTGAGCATTTACTATATGATTGTTAGATTTTATTAACATGTTCCCACCCGTGTTTTGTGCACTACGATATCACTTTAAGTGTACTCTATCGACAAAGCTACAGTGTAGTAACTATTCACTGGAGATTGTTCAGTTTTAATTGAGATCATGAACCAATAAATATTATACCATCATTGGGAATTCGTAAGCAATGGATAGCCTATTCTTCCTAATATGGGACTCCTTAGCAGTGCACATTTACACTAGTCAGCAAGTTATTGGCTTAAAGTTTTACATTATTTTGCTGTAAGTGAACTATTATGTATATGTAATCTACTCACCTTGTATAGTGTACAGTTGGTGCAGGTTTGACTCTATACAAATCTGTTATACTTTTAATCCAATTTTCTATGACTTTTGTTTGTTGTTCAGCGTTTTCAATACTTTTAACTATCTAAAATTTGTATTTTTTTTTGAAAAAAAAGTAAGAAAAATCAACTAAAACTACAACTCATGGTTTCTTGTTTCCTAAAAGTAAACTAAGAAAAAATTGCTTATTACTCTGCCAATTTTAAATGTTACTGAGATTTCGTTATAAATTAAAACGTTGATTTAAGCACTACCCCACAAAAACATTCATTAACCCTATAAGATAATTGAAGACTCAGAAAAAGGATAAGGATATCTACCAATCCACAATTGTTTGCTCTTTTCATACTGTATATCCTTTGTTTCTATAGTCATTAAAAATACAATCGTCTTATTGCTTCTTCTTGATATTTCACTAAGCTGATTTACTGCTCTGGGTTTTTATGGATGTTATGAATATATTCATATTTAGCAATACCACAATATAATAATATTTCTGAGTAGTATACAATGCATTTGATTCTTCTTCAGCCACATCTAGGGAGTATATAGTCCTGATTCTATAATAAAGTGTTTTAACCAGGTTCCTTTTATATTGTAGTGGAATACAACTAAGGACACTTGTATATTGGCCAACCCAAGTGGTTTTCTCGTTTAAGTTCCGTCTTAGTGACCGATCTATTCTTTTCGTAAGTAATTCATTTAGAAAAGTTATTCTACCTCTGTTTTCTTCCTCACATGTGAATGTAATAGACAGATGAATTTCATCAAATCTCTGGAGTATCTTCATCCGGTTAGTATGGCGGTTAAAAAGGATGAAATTATCGTCTATATATCAACAGTTAAAAGAAGACTTGTCAGTATCCTGTGTTAATGGACCGTTTTCTAGTTTAGTGATAAAAATGTCAGCTAACATGGGACTTAGTGGTGAGCCTATCGCAACACCATCTATTAGTCTAAATATTTCGCCATCGAATATGAAGTTAATGTTCGTAGCACATTTTAGTAATAATTTCTTAACGATATCCATACGGATTGTAGTCTCTATTTCCTCTTCCGTAAGTTGTTCACAGATAGATTCAACATTCTACCTGAGTGGAGTATCGGCGAACAATGATTTTAGATTCATGGTCATAAAACATCTTAGTAATTTCAGTGAATTAGTCTTGAAAACCGACATATTTATTCATGATGACAATCATAAACTTCATTACCGATAATGTGAAATGAATTATTAGAAGTTGGAAAAACATAAGTTATATAGTTCTCAATTCTTAGCCGAAACCTCATGTTCTCTGGAGATTCAAAGGTATTAGGTTCGAACCAATATAATATTATACTAGGATGAGACAGCCGTCCGATTTTTTCAGATTTTCAATAGTTGTCTAACTTAAATCAATCTATGATCTTAGTACAACTCAAAAATTCCCACTACCCCCGTATTGATATTCTAATTTATTTTAAAAAACTATTTTCAAACCATTGCAACCTCCAAAAAGCCCATAAGTAAATGATAAATTAAACATTAAACAATAGCTCTATGGGTAATTGGTTTAAAATCCGAATATCAAGAAAATAATTTGTTATACCTAATGACCTTGTTCCCTACTAATATATGACGTAATGATACCACCGATTAGAGAACAGTGACTTATCTACCGGACCAATGTCGTATAAACCCGTACGAGCAATCTGGAGTCCTTATCGGTACTTTTCACCTAACCCTGCTTGTTGAGTTCAGAACACCAATCTCAGACTCCGTGACATGAATCATTTATTTCAAATATATTGGGTTTATATACAAACCAAACAGAATACATCGCACCATAAAACAGAAACCAACATTTGTGCAAGATCTAGCCAAAAGTGGCTGTGATTGTGAGGGACTGTAATTAATAAACTGGGTATAACTTGAGAATAATAAGTCGTATAATAATAGTCTATGGGTCAAAATAAAGCTCATAATAAGAGGAACATTAATATGCATAGGTTAGCTGCATAACAATTATACAACAAAAATACATGTTTTGTATTAGTCCATAAATAGATCCCAACAGTTACCATTTATTATTCTCGTTGAGATATATCATAATTCAATGAAATTATTTGACTAAAAAAATACATACAGAACTTACTACTTGTTTTGTTGCAGTTTGCTTTGACAAAGCTCTCAATTGTAAATTAAGTACTATGGGATCTGACTGATTAGCACATGGTTCATCCAAGACCAATAAACCTAAATAATCTGGTTTACCATCTGGTCTGGGCACCTATTTCGGTAGAATTAAAATGTATATTTGAAAACATCAGTTAAGATTTTAAAAAATAATTTACAGTTGATAGAAATTTATCAAAACCAATTGAATTATCCGCTAATAGATTTTTAAATGATCTAAATAGAAGAAGTCAAAATGTACGCTGTTTCTGCAATGTATTCATACATTTTTAAACAAACTATTTAAAAACATAGAATTATGAATCTGATTATGCATGCAATAAAAACAAATGAAGCTGAAAGATTTGCCATATGGAGTTTACTTTTCATTGCATAAATAGAGCTTCAAAGATATTATGAACATTGTACAACAACACAATGTCACATTTATACGCTTAATGGTAGTCCATGTCGTAAAAACCAATAAAGAAGTTTAATACCTTAGATGGCTAAAAATTAATCGGTAGGGAGAACAAAAATTTATTCTGGTTGATATTCATTATCAAGTCAATTCTGTATTATGTAAGAATTTGATTGTTCAACAGTAACTGCTTGAATCTACTCTATAAAAGAAAAATAAATATAGAGCAATAATTTGTTTAACAATTATTATCTTCAAATATTTACTCATTCGGCAATCTTATGTCATCGATTCGACATTTGGCATTAATCATCATTTGGTCATTGTATTCACTAGAGTACATACTGATGAAAATAACCAACTCTTGCTGTATTTTCACACACAATCTCCTTACGCATTATTATAACATAAGTAATCTGAATGAAAGATATTTCAGTTAGAATTATACAATTAGTTTAAACTATCCACTTATCTGCTATGAGAATTATAAATTATTTTAGTTACAAGATTTATCTGAAATATTGTTTGAGAACAACAACTAACTTTTAAAAATGCATCAATATCTCCAACAGCTGGTATATAATCAGGAATGAATGGTTTCAACTTTGTTTCTAATTCGATTGTTTGAGGTGTATATCTAAGTTGAAGAAAAAACAAAAAGATAGAAGCTTACAGGTATCAGTGTTAAAGTTTTATTTATTTTATTTGTTTAAACACATAAACATTGGTACAAGGAGGCACCAAATATACATGCACCACATAAATCATTTGATTTGTGTGATGGCTGTGATACTGCACGGGTGCCAAACCGAAGCATGTGGTGTTCTTAGGAGGCTACACCCGAAGCCTTTGACCTAAAGGTCTAGTCCACAAGGCAGTGAAGCAACGTCAGGAGATGCAGTCCCATCGTAGCCGGTCACCAACAACAGGTTCATACGCCATTTGTTTCTTTCAGGATCCTGGAGCCCACGTGCACTATTGATGTGGAATCAGGGATTTCCAACTCTCCTAGGTGGATTCTCCGTGTCCACCAACCCGGTTAAAGCGCAGGATATTCGCTTTTCATCCTTTCAAGCTCGTAAACAATACCCCCGGCACACCGTGGATTCCACTGTATACCGTTACTGAACATGTGACTAAATAACATTATCTAGGAAATCTAGGAAATGATTACATGTCAATGAAGACTGATCAGCTGTAGTCCGTAATGCTAAGGTTGAACTTGATAATTTCAGATAATTTAAATTGTTTTGTTTTATCCTATTGAATAGAAAAATTTTATTTCTGACGTTTCGTGGCTTAATATAAGTCAATTCTCCAGAGTACATACAATTTTTCTCCTCATTGAGATATAACAAAAAAATTCATGATTAAGAAGGTTGAAAAAAAAATAAAATATACATTTAGATTAATATAATTTATTTTATAAAGGAATATTTGGTGAGACTATAATTTATGGATGACCTTTGAGCGGCGCTAGACTGAACTTGAGAGTGTCCGCTTATTAACCAGGACGAGATGAGGGTTATGAACCTGTGTGAGGAATTAGAATTACAATTTACAGTTGATGATTAAGCTTAGGAATTAGATTAAGCGTTTTCATCACGAACTGACATAAGCTATAATGCCAAAACTCTATTTATCCAAATTCATGAGTGAATTTCGCGCCAAAATCAGAGACCTTATATCTTATGCGTGATTGGCTCGTCCATAAATTATAGTCTCGCCGAATATTTATTTATATATTTATGTGTACGAAGTTACCTTTGAATATATTCAAAAATTTCCTTAATTTCAGACGATACAGTCAAATGTTCATAATCGGCCGGATTGTAGACACTAAAAAGAACGATGAAAATATTTGGTCAGGAGAAAATTCTTGTCAACTTCAGTTATTACTACCATATACTCATAACTGTTTAGTAAGTAGTAATATATGGGTTTTTTCGCTCTTTTATGCAAATAACTACAAAAGTTCTAGAATTTGTTGTTTATTTTGATATTTCCCAATATTATGAAGTCACATTTTGGTTAAATATCATGTTTAAAAGAGTGAAACAAATTTTATTATTTGAACTCAGTAGCTCAGTTGATGAGATGTTGGAGTTGAAAAAGAAAGGTACTAGTATCAAGTCCCAATGAGAACATTAATATCAGGATCCAAATGCACCAGCCGACAAGTCCCACGTAAGACGACACGGACACCCTGGATTCCATTGTACACTGTTATTGAACATGTGATTAAATAACATTATCTAGGAAATACTCTCAGAATGAATACATGACAATGGAGACCGATCAGCTGTAGTCCGTAATATTAACAACGTGAAAATACAAATTCATACAAATAAATATTACTTATTTTCTAAATATTTTGGAAATTTTATTTTACATGTGAAAATACGAAATCGCTCAGAAGATATTTCTTCGTACAACCATTACCTCGTTTTCATGACGAAAACACAAAATTTTCTTAGCTCCTGACATTTCCAGTTTAGTTATTATCATTATGTAACAGAAAATTAGCGTCCAGTGAGTAATCATGTGGTGTGTGCTACTGATGCTTACAGATATAAGTAGTATGTATCAGCAATCGAAAGTGGAATGCCTGGAGGCAGAAGGCTAAGACGATCGAAGAAAAGAGAACAACAACAAAGGGTGATTGGTGTGGGAATGAAGGAACAATAAAGTCCGAGACGATTGATTGACATTTTGCAAATGCAAAATTTACTGTGTGGTTCTCATATTTTACTAAGATATTCTGTAATTTTGATTTCAAATACATTCGATTGTCCCCACTTATGTTCTCGTTCACTACAGATTTCGTCTATAAGAAATTTTTGGCATAGTTTTACCATTGAAATTTGCCAAGTGTTCGTTAGCATTTCATTCTAATAAAGCATGATAATCTCAGTTTGTTTTTAAAACAAAGAAGATTTTTTCGGTTGTCATATTTCATCCGGCACAGGTTGGATGGTTGACTAATAAACTGACTGGTTGGTTGACATATTCAGTTAGCGAATGAGTAGACGAGTGTAAGTACATAGAACTTTGTGTGCTAGTGTATGGATCCAACGTTCCCGACGTTTTATAAAAACAGAAAATAACAGTAAAATATATGAATATTATTAAATAAGTGTCACATTCAATGAGATTGATGACAATACAACATACCAAATATAGATTCGTGCACTTGGCTTTGAATCATTCGTCGTGTGAAGGTTAGTGATACTACCTAGGTGTTTAAACCGAAGTAGGTGGAGTATGATTTAAACTATCAACTTAATGGTTTTAAACCGAAGGCCTTAACCACTAAGTCATCTGTCAGTTATAATCAGTTTTCAGTTATTCAAATTTAAATCTTCAACCATCTATTTTGTTTCCTATTTAAAGTGATATTTAGCGTAGGAAAACTAATAATCAGTTGTTTTTATAGTATAATATTGCACTTTGATTTAATTTCTTTGTTGCTTTTCAAAAAGTTTATTAATATTTCAGTAAACAAAGGAAACCTACAGACTATCGATACTTACATAGAATAAATAAATCCCTATATAGAATGTTCTCTGTTTTGTAAATTTGACATACCCTTCAATGACATCAGGGATATTAGAATTTTCGTCATCGTCATCTTCATCATCTTCATCATCATCGTCGTCATCATCATCATCATCCTCATCATCCTCATCATCGTCATCGCCGGAACTATCTAAAAACAATAAAAATAAAATTAAAACTACGATGGAAAGTGTTTATTTTAGTAATTGGATTACAATTTATTTTATAAATTTACGTTTACCACAAAAATTTACCCATACTTATTAATCAATGAATGACTTAACTGTTCATCTTGTATTAACTTTACTAAGAATTATCTGAAGTTATTGCAAAGATTAAAAACGCATATTTTATTTTACATGTTACCTACACAAATGACTTAATCCAAATGAAAATCGAACTATGAAAAATTGGGCACTTAACTAACTAGCTATCATCTTTGTATGTTCTACAAGCAATTTATTATTAACAAAACTGGAAGGTATAAATAATCTAATGATTATTTAACCAATCACTTACTTACGCATGTTACTCCTAATGCAACATAGACCGCCTATCAGCATTCTCCAACCCACTCTGTCATGGGTCTTCCTTCCCAGTTCTATACAATTCTTGTTCAATTTTCTCTTGTCTATCTCCATTTCCCAGCGTAATGTGTTCTTTGATCTTCCTCTTTTCTTTTGGCCTTGAGGATTTCATGTGAGGCTTTCCTCATTGTGTGTCCTATCCACTTCCAGCGCTTCTTCCTGATTTCTACCTCCTCTGGGATCTGATTTGTTCTCTCCCATAGTATGCTGTTGCTGGTAGTGTCTGGCCAACGCATCCGAAGTACTTTGCGTAGACAACTGTTAATAAACACTTGAATCTTCTGGATGATGGCTTTAGTGGTTCTCTAAGTTTTTGCCCCATACAGTAGAACTGTCTTGACATTCGTATTGAAAATTCTGACTTTTGTGTTGGTTGACAGTTGTTTTGAGTTTCAGATGTTCTTCAGTTGTAAATATACTGCTCTTGCCTTACCGATCCGCGCCTTCACATCTGTATCAGATCCACTGTGTCCATCAATGATGCTGCCCAGATATGTAAAGGTTTTTATATCTTTCAAATCTTCTCCATCAACTGTGGTTCGATTGGTGCATGTTGTGTTGTATCGGCGAATCTCGCTCTTACCTTTGTGTATGTTGAGACTTACTACTGCTGCTGAGGCTGCTGCTACACTGGTCGTCTTCTCCTGCATTTTTTGTTACGTGTGCGATAGAAGAGCCAGATCATCTGCGAAGTCTAGATCGTCCAGCTGCTTCCTAGCTGTCCACTGTATCCCATGCTTCTCCTCAGATTTTGACGTCTTCATGATCCAGTCGATCACCAGGAGAAGGAGAAAGGGTGAGACTAAACAACCTTGCCTGACACTGGTCTTTACTTCGAACGAGTCTGTAACATGTCCTCCATGCACGATTTTGCAGTTTAATCTATCATAGGAATTCCGTATGATATTGACCATCTTCTTACGTACGCCGTAGTGTCGAAGAAGCTCCCATAGTGCTATCTTGTTCACGCTGTCAAATGCTTTCTCGTAGTCAATGAAGTTGATATAGAGTGATGAATTTCGTTCAATTGATTGTTCCACAATGATCCGTAGTGTTGCGATTCGGTCTGTACACGATCGACACCTAAGGAATCCTTAACCAATTAATATTCATATCTAAATCTGTTTTATTTATATATCGGAGTACTTAATATGTGAAAATAATGACACAGATTTTATACTTTCATTTCTTTATGACGATAAAACAGTAATAAAACTTAGTGAATCAAATAAGATTCTTAAATTCCTTGGTTTAATTGTCAAAATAACAATGTTATATTTTAATTATTATTAGTTCATTATTCGTTAGTTAACATTAAATTTGCTCCATCTTCATTCGTTATTTCAATTAATAAAAAAATCAGTGATATATGAAAAATAAACCAACCTTGACTACTTAATTTCTCATTGTTTGGCTTCTTTTCAATGATTGATTTTGGTGTAGTCTAATAAGGTTAGAAAAAGAAAGCGAAATAAAATATTAGACTTTAGTACTAACAAGAATGATTTGAAATTAGTTCAGATCACAGAATAATATCAGACGCAGAATCTTCAAAAATGTAGTAGTAATTAATAGGTGTTTTGTTCTAGTTCCGAACTTTTAGGCATTATGTGCTCATGATCCTCTACAAGGTAGAACCATAAACCACTAAGTGTCGTTGTACACGTTACGCCAATAGACAGTTGAGTTAGAATTAGGCTCTAATGGTGCTATACAGAACAAAAATGGTTAAACTATTCAGCCTAGAGAAATAAACGCAATTGGTATCATATACTTGAGTTACTGATCTTTTCGGTATCCTATAATTTTAATTCCAGTCAATTTGTAACAAGAAGTAACTCCCACCTGAAGATATTTATGGAATACTATTTTATTCTTGATTTAATTCCTTACGACAGGTCATATTTTATTGTTAGATCTTGATGAAAGTTTATCTCTAGGCTAATTACTACTTAATCCATGAAACGATTGTACGATATTCCGCTTTTTTACCAGTTTTTCAGCTGAGTAGGTGAAAATCGACTATAGACTACAAGAAATCTCTACAGAACAATTATAGTCTATAAACAAACATGATTAAACAATGTTAAAAATGTTTTTACTCGTAGAATAATAGCTAAAACCTATAATGTAAAGCAATTAATGTCTACTTAAAAAAAATACATCTTTTCATCAAATTAAAGTGAAAGAATAGATAAAAAATGAAAGTGGCATGGCTTACTTTAATTGATTTATTTAATAATTCACTCTTTGTTTTTCTTAATGATTTACTGTTATCTCTATGAGAATCTAAATGGTCAACTAGATAAAAAGGGCAACAACAACAAAAAACAAATTAAGCGAATAGATTGTAGTGATTAAAGGTGTCAATTATGAAGTGCTTAAAACGTTTAGAACTGAGGAGAGTTTATTGTACTACGATATAGTGTAAAATGAAAATTATGTTTATCTTATACTTCATATGATGGATATATGGAAAATAAGACAATAGGAAGGAAAACGAAAAGCAATCAAAATAACAACAGGATAGGGAGAATGATGAAGTGTATGAAGGACAACTGAAGGAAGATATGTGAATGATGTATTTAATTAATGATTTTCATATTTTACAAAGTCACTGTGTGATTTTGTTTCATGGTGTCATTTCGTTAACTTTTCCGGAATTCCGTCCACAATTACTCAGGAAAATGTGAGAAAACATATAAGAGACTACTTATGATCTGAAGAAGTATTTAAAGATATATTAATTTCTTGAACGCTTGAATGTCTCAGCAAAACTGATCTTAAAGATACAGTAAAACGATTGTAAGCTTTAAAAAAACCATGTGTCATATATAGCTACAATATATATCCAGATTCTATCATATTTTAGCTACGGATTCTTTTTATTTTTACGGCAATAACGGGGCATAAAGTTCCCTAGGTCACTTTCAACGTCTCCCATGGTTGTTAGCATGGTATAGCTTCACCATAAATATCAACGTTGTGTTCAGTATTTCATTTCATAAGGTAAATAATATCAACATTTTTATTTAGGGGAATTTGTGAGAATTCATCATAACAGGAAGATGATTTTCACATAAAACCGTTGTTCAAGAACAGATGGCGACCATAGGGAGTTGGACGGCAGGCTCATCCTAAATTTAGACATTCCAAGAATATATGTCCAAAATATCAGTCAGTCAATCACAAGCAAAGTGGGACCTAGCACAAACGTCCATCAATTCACGCCGCTACATTGTATCGCCACGAGTCGAAATTATCAAAATGAATGCCAAAGTAGTATAAATAGCAGTAGCGTTAGTGTGATACTAAAAACGATATTAGGCGTGGAAGATATGTTTAAGAAAGCTCCAGAATATAACGGACAAAATATTTTTAGAACTCATGACCTAGGGAAAGACAAAAACCTTATTCATTTGTACCACTGTCACCAGTTTTAAATCATGTCAATTGTTATCCCCGACCCCTAGTTACGATGGTCTGGGTCTACCAACATGGCTTACTTCAATAGTCAGTGACTTGATAAACTGATTTCACATGAGGTTGAATCCAGGACCCACGTTGTAGGTGCCCGTTTCTCAGGAATCTCACGCAAGAACGAAATAGTCATTCAGTCTACCTTAGTTTTAAACGGTCTTCTAGCATTCTCGTTATATAACAAATATGATCGTTTACTTCATAAAGGCTAAAATATCACTATTGAATTCACCAGAATATACGTTTTGTCAAAACGTATCATAAAAATCAAATATTGTGAGACTGCATTCTTCAGAGATGTTCTCTCCTAGTGTGTAATAATAACAATAATCTATGTAAGGAAACCCTTACGGAGCTTCTAGAATGTATGGCTTATATATTCTCATTTAGGCATTGAGTCGAACTCCAATTTATCAAACTCATTATTCACCATAAATATTCTTTCAAATATCAATACTAAGCAAACAGGAAGCAAAAGAGTGGATATACTGGTTTTCATATATATATATATATATATATATATATATATATATATATATATATATATATATAAATCGTGATTTTAATTAACAATCGATTTTCGCTTGAACATATAACACGATACTGTTTCACTTGATCAAAAGCCGTTAAATAGGACGTTATTTTTCATTCTCTATGTTCGTCAAAGTACCTCTTGAAAATGGTGGTATTTCTCAAAGTCCACATGCGAAACTTACTACACTGCTATTGGTTTTTGGCAGTTTTGAACTGAAATTATTTTTTCAATATTCCAACTATGATCCCTTACTTTTACTACTGCTGAGGCATACTTTTTTTAAACAAGTTTCTTAGGCTCTGAAATCCTAAGACGTTTTATATTTCTGAGATCATCCTAATTACTTACCTCATAAACCTTTCATGGTAAGTCCAACATAATTTTTTTAGACAGGGAATAATTTTTAACTCTGAAATAGCCTTGTCTAAGGACGAAAACAAGATGTTCTCAGTTTTTATCGCCCAAAGTGTATGGTTCTATAGATATATTATTTTATAATCAAAACATACTGTAAGTATATTTTCATATAAAAAGATTAAAAAATTTTTCCTGGTCCTGAATCAGCAAACAATAAAACAGAACCTAAGAATTGACTGATGATTATTTCCCCCTAATTTCTATATATTGGAACTTTCCTGGGATTAAACTGAGTGCATTTAAGACTGTATTTGGTTAGCAAACAAGATATGACCACAGAAAATATATTTTATAAAGGCGAAAATTGACAGGTCTTATCTTTATCAAAATAATGCCGATTCGTGTTATCATGCCTGCCTTATCTCCAGTTTTATTGTTTAAAACATCCTCGGGAGCAGCAAGAAGTTAGGGGTTCTAGCTGTCTTGTTGCTTCAAATCCTTTCCCTAAATTCGTTTCATCACTAATCATATTGACAGTTAACTAGTAGTCGATAAGCGAAAATGGTCTAATGTTCTTAATACTCCTATCAAAACGTTGGCGTAACGGTTGTTCCATGGTCGAATTATTCGAGAAGCCTGCACAGTCTTCAATTAGGCCCCTGATTAACTCGCAAAGAGTTATTTTTCAGCTAGATATATCTCTCGACATTACTCAACTTTTCATCGTTTTCCTTCAAGTTGTTTTATGTTCTGCCAAAATCTTGCCAACCCAGTTCATGTATTTACTGGACAAGCCAAGTAACAACAAGTAATTTATCTCAAAACAAAATACATCCATAAAAAGTCAAAAACTACCTCGAAATCTATCAAAATTTTCAGCAAGAGACTGTTGCAGTCGTGGTGTTGCTATATCTTCTGAATCTGGCACATCAACTGTTTCATCATATGGTTTATCCATATATCTGCACATTTAAAAACGTGGGGTAAATCTAAGCAGTACATTTTTAATGCATATATATATAATGATCGCGGTTTAAAAACATAAAAAAACACGTTCCAAAGCACAGTTTTGTATATAATTATATTTCCCATAGGTGTTTACCAGGTGTACCGACAACGGATTTCACTCCACGTAGCATGCAATTCCATTGATTTTTAAATAAAAAAATGTTAGGTATTACACATACTGTTAGCAATATCAGCCACTGAGTTTCAAATAATATAGATTATATTCTTCAGTATCAATAAGTTATGATATTCTATAACAGGTGTCAAAAATGTAGTAATTTTGGCACATTTTGATTTTCGGGAGACTTGCTCTAGGCGAATTTTTCACCTTATCTTATTCTTTCACTTCCAAAAAGCACGACTAGATGTATCCCTTGTTTTATTAAATAGATCGTGAAGGTTGATCTCAAAAATTAATCTAGGTCAGTGGATTGCTGGTTAGAAGAATCTATTTTAAAGAGCAAGATACACAAGATGACTTCAGAACGTTACAAATTTAAGCAAATTCTGACTGAAAGATAAGGAGTGTGTGAAAAATGTACCTTTTACTTTGAAATCAAAATGTCTAGCTTTGTCACTAGACTGAAGACCAGTAACCAAGTCCTAGGACTTGATATTATAAAATAGTTCTAGCGAAATCCAATTGCTGATAAGTTAACAACGAAAAATCATTTTTCGAAAAAGAGCAACTTAACACCAAGATGAGAGAACAAGGAAAACAAGTAGTATTTACAAGCTTGTCACAAAGACATCAGTATCCCAATCTCCCAATTTTGGTAGAATTTTGGGGTTTTACCCAGATCTCAACGATAGTTGGCAGGTTTGGACATTTTCATCGACCTAAGGAAGTTTCAGGGCTATTTTTCCATTACCATGAAACAGACAGTGTCCGCCAAAATAAGAATATTGAGATTCTTGAAATCTATTCCGGATATGTTAGATAAGCTCTTTTCAGGCTTCCATTCTCGAACTCTGCTTAACTGTTAGAAATAGTAGTATATTGTGTGAGAGATTTTGAAAAACTTGATCAAACAGATGAATAAATATTTGAATTAAGATTTTGACAATTGTAAGTCAATTATCTTATATAAATCTACGTAAAGCCATGTTACAATAAAAAACCGGACAAATACATTCTTATGAGTTATTTCTACTTCGAGTGAGTAAAAACGATCAGTAGGTCGCCATATGGTATTTGTTGGGAGGTATTTGAACACGCCCACGACAGCGTAGTTATGACTTCCGTATTCAAACTTCAAACATTTTTAGGCAGGCTATACAACCACTTTATTTCTTGTAGTCTGCATCTTGGTAGTATAAAGGAGCTTAAGGGCGCAAGGTTGTATAATCCAGGTTTTATTCTAACGAAAACTGAGGAGACGATACATTACGTAACAATGGGTTGAGTGGTAATTATGAAATGGTTCAAATTGTCTAAATGGTTGTGGACGGAATAGAAGAAGCTTTCGCTTAACGGGCTTCCGTGTCTAATAGCAGTGGATCAATAATGCCTCCAGGCAGGAACCTAGGTATATTAACGATAGTAGAGGAAAAAAGATATGGGTAAATCATAGTAAGATATTATCCTTAGTCCTTAAGAATAGGTCAAGGTTCCTCTTAAAGAACTCCTGGGAAATCGCTTGGATTCATTCAGCCGGCAGAGAATTCCAGCTTTTGACAAATCTTAAGGAGTGGAAGTTGTGTCTACAGTCCGTCCTGCTGTGTTGTGTCCCCAGTTTCTGGTTGTTAATCTTTATGTTTGTGGTGGAGCTAAACCGAAGTAGGTGTTTAAGAGGATGTCCAAAAGTGTTGAGGATGCCTTAAGCCCTTAGAAAGCCACCTCCCAGACGCCTGTGCTCTGATAGGCAAACTCTTGCATTTCAGTCTGCGAACTGATATCGTTGATGGTCGTTAGATACGTTCCAGTGTGTCAGTATCCTTTTGGAGTGGTTCCGTACTCTAGATGGGGACGAATGAAACGGTTGGAGATTATATGGAAAGGTTTTCCGTCAAAACGGCCAAAAATAAGCTTCAATGTTATCAGTGCAAAGTTTGCCTGAAAGGCATTTTTGTCACAGCGTAAGACTTCTAATCGTTGGGTACCACGATAACTAGATATTTTTCAACTTTGGTTACTTCTAGAGGGTAGTCATCTAAGTTGTAGCTGTAGTCTACAAAATGTTTCGGATGGACTGTTTTTTCTGTTGTGGAAGATCGCTTATATAAATCAAGAAAAAAAGAAATATTAGTACTGAACCCTGAGGACCCCAATAGAACATTCTATAGCCTGAAAGAAATTTAATTTAGCCCTAACCTTAAAATGTCGATTTTTGATATATGAAGCGAGCTAATCATTTGAAGGTGATTTGATATCTGATCGTTTGAGCTTACTGATAAGGCGTACACGGTTGACCCTATGAAAGGCTTTTGGGAAGTTAAAGTAAATGACATCAATCTTTCCCTTGCGATCAAGGATGTTTGCCGATCAGTCTACCACAGTCAGCAGGTTCATTATTGTTATGTCCCGATAAGAATAATGATTGGTAATGTTTGAGATCCACTTGTGGACCAAGGTTATATAATTGTTAATTAGCTAAACTATTCTTATCGATTTAATGTTAAGTATTTCTATGGCAGTCGATTGTCTAACTCATCGATTAAATGTTTAAAAATACTTTCATGGCAATATCGATTATATACATGTAATTGATATATATGTATATACATATATTGTGTTCGTGGGTTCGCTTTTTGAGGCTTAGCAATCCAAGAGTGCGATTCGGGATGACTGGATGTTGCTTGTAGATTCTAAGGACTGTTCGCTGAACAGAATGCTTTGTAGCACTTAAAATCGTGTGTGGTAAGAAATTATAATGAGCATCCACATCAAAATGAGAGGGAACTTCCCAGTCCACCTGCTGTAAATTGTGCTGTGGAACTGATACATCCAACCGTTTGAAATCCCGGTGCCTGTTGTTAAGGGGATGTATTAGCTTAGTTTTTCTGATAAATCTGAAAGCTATGATGGTGTGATCACTTCCCTCCATGGAAGCGAGGGTTGAGAGATGTCAGTTAGAAATTCTTCATTTGTAAATACGCAGTCAAAGCGCGACGGCATCTGACTGTTTCTTTAACGAATTGCCCACTTCATATTTTCGAATAATTCCAGATTTTCAAGGAGGTTGAGGAACCGAGCTTCAGTAGCGTTCTCACCGTCAATATACTTATGCTTCACGAGATTGACTTATGGAAGATTGAAGTCCCCGAGAATCAGGATTTGAGTGAATCCAAGACGAGTAGAGCAGGATAATCCTTCCAGTATACAATTGTTGTACTCGTTTTCAACAGTGGTCGTCCTGTAGATGACAACAAGACACCTCTAAGTGGCACTTCATGGATTCACCAAGATTGATAATCTCTTGGTTGTGCACTTGATGTACCTCCGGGCAATATCGTAAGTATAAGGCTACTACACTACCAGTTCCCGTTTATCTATCATTGTGAAACAAAGACATCCCGGGTATTGCTAGCCGCTGATAGGCAAACTGAGAAGATATCTAAATTTCAGGCATTCTTGTCAGATGAGCATTATCAGCACTTCTGAGTTCACGTAGGTGATCCATTTTATTAAGTAAACTCGCGGCGTTCATGAATAAATGTTTTATGGTTTTATTTTGAAATGCGTGAGCTTCCTCGTCCTGTTTGTCTGTATGAGCCTTATTTGAATGGATAGTTAGCCTATCCATACAAGTTTTCGCTAGTTGGCAGTCCCTGTCCTTCCCATTTTTTATTATCTAGACAGTCCACAAGTGGAATGACCAGCCCCAACTTCCTTTGTACCTGATCATGGCGCCGTGTTGTCTATCCGGATTTATATGGATTCCAGTTGGCAACCGGCGTCTGTATGTATGAAATGCTTTCAGTGTTGCAGTTGCCGTGTGGGAGGATGGGAGATTGTCTTCATTAGCCGGGGTCTAGAATCTCCGTCCTTCTTGGCTAGTCTCGTCACATGTTGAGTCAGTATGTTTTTGAGCCTTGAGGATTGCTTCATGAATTTCCATTTGCTAATATCAGAGTGTGTTTGTCCAGGGTCTGTGTTTTCCGGTACACCTTACACAACGATATTTCTTCCGCGGTAAAACTCCTCGTCAGATTCCTTAGAGATGTTCCCGATAAGATTGCGCTCAGAATACGGTATATCAGGCAGTATTCTTACGTTCTCATCTGATTTCAGTAAATGGCTAGCCAGTTGGATATTCTCCACGTCGGTAGCGTTAGTATGTCCAACACGAAGTAGTCTAGGGTGATTTTGATGCTTAGAGTCCTTTCCCTGAGCGAGCCGTGTGACCGTCAAAGGCTCTATTTTGGGAAGTTTTAGATTCTTGTTTAAATCTTCCTAGAATATCCTATAATGTTTGTCCTGCAAACTGAGGGGAAGTTCTTTAGGGTTCATAGTTACGAGAGAATTATCGCAAACCATAATCGTTTTCCCAAGTCTTCCAGTACGCTCAGGTTGAGGACCTTGTTGTTTGGAGGTCAGAGGGCGTTTCGATTCCCATGTTCTTTGCTGACCGGTTGGACAATCTCGGGGTTAGATTGTGCGGCCAAACTACCAGTTGACTTCATCACGGTGACGCCCGATCCTTTTTAGCTTTGTGGACGGGATCCAGTCACCTACAGAAATTTTGGGAACTGCCGTCGCACTCATTATTCTGTGCTGGGAGACCCAAGCCTGCTGAGAGAGTCTAGTACCATCGACGTTAAGATGGTGCTGAGTTCCAGAAAGTCCTCACTAAAATTATTAGTTACTACATCAATAATAGCTTTGTCGAGATCCTATTTTTTCATTGCGCATCATTGTTTTATAGCCGTTTTAGGACTAGCTTTTTTAAGTTTGCTGACAACTTATTCCGCATACCTTTCAAGAGAAAGATATTGTTCAGCAAAACCTCAGCGTTCGTGGTGCACGTGACAAATACCCATCTATGATCCGACCTACCGAGTCTGTTGTACGCTGTTACTATTAGGTAATAATTCATCATTAGTAAGGGACGATGTTGTTATTAGGAATTCCTAAAATTAGAAACAACACTCCGAACTGGGTACACCTACTAGTCACAAGTAGACAGGTTTTAAGATTTGCCGCCGAACGACGTGGTGAAGGTAACTTTCAAAGGGTCTTTCAAGAGGACACTTGGTACACTCTCAAGGGACCAGGTTTATTTCACTTCAATCTATTAGTATTTCTTTTCCGCTAGTTTCATATTCCGAAATGCTTAATAAAGAAATTGGCTATCCATAACCACTAGAAACAGAAGTTCGTTAGGTGGAAGTTTTTTCTAGTTGTTTTTTAGCAAGTTGCACTAAGAACGATCGCGTTTCTTCCGTCCCCTCGAGCGATGAACCAACTTACTTCTAATCGGAGTTAGTTGTGAACCTAATATTCGACTTCACATTGGTATGAGATTAGATGTTAGAGGACTTGCCACATCAACCAGACCTGCTTATATTTTCAGACAACTCATGAAGTGTTTGTATAGAACCGTAGATGTCTATTCGGTAATGAGAGTCGGTATATTGAGGAGGAAGCATACATTTGCTGTAGTTTATTTGGTTTAACTTTTTGGAGTAAGGACTTAAATTTGTCACAGTAAATTTTGATTGACTGAACTTATTCGTTTGTTTTCTGTTTGGCCGACTGTCAGAATAACTGACTTGAGACTCGGTCATAGGTTTGAGAGATTGTATGCCGTATTTCTTGATCGTTTGACAACTTATAGCATGGCAAACATTAGTTGACTGACAAATTACAGCTGACTTTCCACACTTGATTCTTTCATAAAAAGGGAAGCTGTTCCATGTATATGTACTTACCTCAATATCATGCAAGTATGTTTCATGTAGACGGATTGTTAATTGAAGCTTAATCTAGGCAAGGTCGCTTATCCAACAATAGCCTCTTGGCGGGTTTTCGAGTTCTCTGTAGTGAGATGATATCCTTGTGTTGACAGCGTTCATTTAGTTACTAAACTAGATATGTCTGTACTGAGCGACACTTTGCATGCTGCAAATGGGAACGAAGAAACAGTACCAAAAGTAGATATGTGTCCTCGCAGACTTTCAAGAGTTTCGCGCTTGAGGGATATGTTCCAAACTGGTGTTGTCAAACCAATCGACGATACTGAAGATGGATTTGATGTAGAAAGTTCAGTGTTTTCAGCATACACCTGTCCTGATTTTGAAAGGTTTTCAAGGTTGGTTCTATGGTTTTTCAAACTACTTGATGAATGTTCTTGTGAGATGAGTTGTTGGACATTTTGTCCTAAAAGCTTTTGATACGGTTCATTATATCACTTCTCAGTATAAACGGTAGGTTAGCTACTATTTATTCGCTCGTGGGTCTTGGCTTGTTTGTGCGGGTCGTATGAAACTAAATAATTAGGTGGATTATGTGTAGGTTTCCATTCACTGAGTGAAACTAAAAAGTCGAATTAGTACGTAAATTTCATTCTCCACTATTGTGAACACAATGCGCTCCTTTACGGACAGTCTGACTTTATTGTCTACTATTTATCTGATATCAACGCCCACTTTTTTATTATACTTCAGTAGTGTGGTGTATACTGTGGATGTACTGTTCTAACTTCTCTAAGAACTGCAATATTTTCCCAAACTTTCACTGTTATACAAGTTATGGGAGTAGCGTTAAACTCCCCAGTTAAAATTCACTCTCCATAATGAGTCCTAAAAGACTAGACGTGAAGATCAAAAGCTGTTAACCAACAGAGAGGGGACACTATACTACTCTTTAGCCTTATCTGCATTGGGATTAGTCTCTCACTCAATTTAATTTAGTGGCGACGGTTGAAAAGTTTATACACGCTTTAGAAATAATTTCAAGGATGTAAATTTACTCTCCTGACTTCATTTTACCCGCTTGATGTATGAGGTATATGGTTTCTTTACTTAGTCTTCACTGAATATCCTATAAAGTAAGAAATTATCCGGCTTAATATTGATTTTCTTACCATATTTGCTTACTCAGAGCCTTTCCGGGGTCCCCACCTATGAAAACTCTGCGCAATCATCGAATAAGTCTAAACAAGAATGAATCGACTCAACATAAGTAAGTTCTTCAACCTCTTTCCATCTCACGAGTTTAACGAATGAGTGTATTTATCCATGATGTTTATGGGGTTTTTGGTTTATCATAGGTTGTTAGATATGGCAGCTGAATAGTGGCATTGTTGGTTATGTATTGACCATTTCAATATTTTACCTATATTGTGTATCAATGACAGCTTTAAGTCCTATAGTATATCCATTAGTTGATCAGTAATTCTGTCCTCTGAAATCAGTTTGTTGGAGATACGAAAATATCTTCCGTGAGGAGGTGGCCAGTTTAATCACCTCAATAGTTATCGATCAATTTTTTCGTTGTAATAAACGAATGTCATAATTTATTTTTTCAGTCAACGAAAAGAAACAGTTAACAGTTGGAAATTGTCTGGAATTTTGGCATAAGTCTCTTCTAGTAAACGAGTGCTTGATTCCTTAATATTTTAAGCATCTTAGTGCACAGAAAACGGTAACCATCTTAATTTAATGTTTTCTTAGATTAATTATGATCTGCCCCCCTTAATTACCCTGGCACGGCCAAGAGTGGGGAGAGTTAGCTCTCCCTCTCGAAATGCTTTCATGTGGCCACGCGTATACAGCCACTGCCAAGGAAATACTACTAACTGCCTTCTCGTGGCGGGGGTGTTGTTTATGAAAGTGAAAGGATGGAAAGCGAATATCCAGCGCTTTGACCGGGTTTGTGGATATGGAGAATCCACTTGGGGGAGTTGGAAAAACCTGACTCCAAGCCACTGGTGCACGTGGGCTCCAGTATCCTGAAGGAACAAATGGCGTATGAACCTGTTGTTGGTGACCGGCTGCGACGGGACTGCGTCTCCTGACGTTGCTCCACTGCCTTGTGAATCAGACCTTTAGATTGAAGGCTCTGGGTGTGGCATCCTAAGAACACCACATGTTTCGGTTTGGGCGCCTTGGAAGTATCCCAACCCTTACACAAACCGAATGATAATGTATGGTGCATGTATATTTTGTGCCTCATTGTAACGTTGTTTTTAAGTAAGTAAATAAATAAAATTATAGTCTGCTCACTGAAATTCACTTGCCATTATCCAGTTTTTCTTTCGAAGTCGAGTGCTGTAATATCCTTTGGATACTTCCTTTATTTACCAGTAGAACAGATTTTTCTGATCATATTTACAAATTATTGTCACAATATTCACAAGTCTCAAATAACTTTACCATAAATTACTGTTGAATTGTGTTGGTCTACCTTTCCTTTGACAGTGTTACGTCATCCAGATCAGTTGATGGAGGTTTCTCTATACCGGAATCACTTTCTCCCCTTAAATCTCCACCCACAAGACCTCCTAAGCCTCGTCATATATCTTTGTCGAAACCTACCGTTCTTGAAGAGGTAAGAATGCCATATCGTTTGTTTTTTAACAAACAGTATGTTTTTACCTGCTTATTGACAATAAATATTGATAACGTTCTAACCAAAATATCAAGTGATTTTAATCTTCGTAGATTACTTACAGATTTAAATGAAAAATACCTGGGCTGCTAGTGTAAATTTCATTTAACCTCAGTCCGTATGTTCAACCATAATTTAAAAGTAAAGGATATGTACAGCCTAAATCAGTTTTTTTCATATTGTGCAGTTTGAGTGGTGTGAAATTACCTTCTAGTTTCCTATTAAGAACGTTGTCGCCATAAGCCAATATTTGAGAAGTTGCTTTTGTCAAAACACAATTACAAATGTTTTATTATTTATTTTATTTTTATTCAAACACATAAACATTGGTACGAGGGGCACCGAATATATATGCGCCACACAAATTTCATTCTATTTGTGTGTGGGCTGTGATACTGCCTACAGCCTAGTCCGGTCTAGATGACTTGGTTGAGATGCTGCTGTGGGTTGTGCTCGAATCGTGTCTTAATGACGATTACAAATGGGACTATTATGAATCTTCTTCAGTAATACTTAACGCAAAAATATCTGTAGTTTACGGGTTTTTAATGTCTCATATAAGGGCTGCAAAAACAAATGAATTCCAATGATCATTTTAGAGCACAGGATAAGCAAACAACTTCCACCATTACGAAATATTTAATGGGGACGAGTTGTAGGGTTGATAAACATTAACATTTTTTATGTTGCATAGGTATTCTGGGTTATATACGACTGTTTGGGGCCCTTAATCATATGAAAATCCAAACCTTTGATAAAAAGAAGTTTACTCTCACCTTGAACGCATAGTAAGATTGATTTATTGTCCATTGCGGTGTGTTTCACATTGTCCCTTATTATCCTTGCTTCCCCTTTTCAGTTTTTCTAGTTGACTTTTTATGTTCATATACGCTTTAAAAGGTGTGTGTGATGAGATGGTTCAAAATATATTGCGCTAACATATTTCTAAAGAACCTCTTTTCATCACCTTATTCAACTTCATACAAGGGACTAATTGTTTTTAGTTTCATATAACGCTAGCGAATTGCATTTGTCAAAATTATATTGTTTTACGGATATCATTTATAAGTATTACTACACCAATAAGGATTGACGCTTAAATTAGCCATTGCTTTCGTTACCTTTGTGACCCAAACTCTCATTCATTATGCCTTTTAAAGGTGAAACTAAAACCGATTTCTTCAAAAGTCGCTACCGAAAATGCATCTTGTAGTAGCGTTACAGAACCGGTGGACATTTCCAAGTATGTTTTCAATTAAATTGTTTGTATATTTCACACCAACCATATTTGCGTTTAACATATATGTAAAAATTTTATTGTACATCATAAAATCAATGTGTATACCTAACCATTCCCTGTTTTATCGGTTCAAATGTTTTTATATTCATGTGTGCCCCGAACGTTTTTAAATATTGAAACATTTGTTAAATGTAATTTAATGTTTGTCAAACTAATTTATCATCAATAAAGGTCGTTAGTACAACAGGATTTACTACCAACTTCTTTCTTTTGAAATTCCTATTTGTTCTGGATTGTTTTCATGCTAGATACATGTGATACATGAACTAATATTTCTTACCATTCGAATTTGATTGAATATCTACTAAGTGTGTGGTGAGATAGTTACTCGTAAGCGGAAACGGAGCAACATTTTTGTCACAAGTCGGATTCTTATCGAGCTCTATAGCATTTAATCATCAGAAAGTGTTTATTTATGTATTTGTTTAAACAAATATTTGTACAAAGGGCACCGAATACATATGCACCACACAAGTCACTTGAATTGTGTGCGGGCTGTGATACTTTCCTGATGCCCAAACCGAAACAAGTGATGATGTTCGACCGGTATGAGCAGCCCAGCGTCTTATTTGGTCCTATGTCTGTTTAGCCATCCACTTGAGTCCAGAACACTAAATACCAGCCTCCAATATGCGAATCATATATTCCAAACATACTGTGTTTATATATCAAACAAACAGACCGCAACGCACCATAAAATAGAAAATAACATTTGTACACAATAAAGCCAAAAAGTGGCTATGAACGTGGGAGGCAGTAGTCAATAAACTGAACATAGCTTAAGAACCGTAAATCGTACAATGATAAATTATAGGTCAAAATAAAGCCTATAATAAGAGGAATATAAATATACATAATCTAATTATTGAATAGTTATACCATAAGAATATATAGATAATATCAGTCAATTAATATGTCTCAGGAGTTACTCGTGATTTAATCTTCGCTCGGATGTAGCAATGTTGTTAGGTGCAGACTACCTGGTCGGGATCCGCGTGATAACTGAGATCTGTAACTGAAGATTTTCAATGAAATGAAACAGATGCATTCATGTTTCATCTTTTTCTATATCTTCAATATCAGTATTCCTTCAAACATACCTTTCAACCGTCTTTTGGTACCATTTTCCCTATATCCATTCTTTCTCATTGTCATTACTACCAAATTATTTCAATCTCTTTTGTTATTTGTCTTGTTATTTTCATCTCGTTGTGGCATCTCGAGTCAACCCACATTATTGTCAGGTTCTGTGATAACTGGATTGACTAAGGTCATCCTCGTAATTTCAGACGAGAATTTCTTATTCACTTCGATCACAGTTTGAAATCTTCCCATTTTTACCATTTAATTACAAATGTTATATTTGTTGTTCAGACATTTTATCAGTTTGTATTTTGCTTGTACTAGTTCAGTCATTCAACCCATTATTTTAGTGGTTAAATAAGTGGTCGACCGATCACAATTCTCACTCGTTTGGTTTTTTGTTTATTGCATTCTTCCCTAATGTGTAGCACTCGGGTAATTATTCTTTAAACCTAATGTTCTTTACTTCCCTTTTCTTTTTATTAAGCCATTCGATTACTAGCGTTGGTAATAGCATAGATAATCAACCATCGACAGTCAAAGTAAATGGAAGTTCGTTAAATTCAACTACCATTCGAAATTCAACTCCTGTAACTATTATCAAAGCAGGACCGCAACAAACATCCCAAGATCCCGTTGAATGTTTTTCTTATGCTTCCATAACTCCTTTATATTCATCTAACAAGATTGAGAAGGCGACTGAAAATGATGTAAATAATGCTATAAATAATAATGGTACGTACTAGTATATACCCACTTTTTTAAGAGATATTTTATCTTATGAACTGGTATTAGTTGGACAACCATCAAAACCAATAGGGATCAGACAGGTGCTTCGCGCAGACATAGGCCTCCTCAACAGTGCACACCTATAACCTCGCCATGCCTCTAATCTACAACCACTGGGGCTTCCATGATATGCATTACTGTTAGATCATGAAGTTGACATCTGTAACAGACTCACATTCCTAACTAAAGTAAATTCACTACGTTACAAAGTATTTGGAATGGCGCAGGTGCATCCACTCTTCGTCTTCACCCAAATTCTAATCTCCTGAATCCTCCTTGTCTCTTTTTCTCTTTCCAAATTTATCTCACTGGATTATACTCTTTAAATAAAATCTTCAAACCCTAATCTTTCCGATTACTGCTTATACTCTTACCGCCTATACCACTCCGGGATTTGAGTCGACAACTGCATCTCTGCGCTAATGTGTGTGGCAACTCGAACTGATGTACGTACGTACGAAGTTCTACGTTGTTACTTACTGACTAACTGATAAAGTATTTGCCAGTTTCTTTAAGCAGGTTATGTTGCTAGTTTAAATGAATCGTGTTACCAATCATTGTTAGGATCTTTATCATCAATCAGTTGTGAATGAGTGTTAGTAGAGTTCACCAATGTACTTGGATTTATTCAAATCAGATAATGAGTTTTTCTTACTGTCGTATTAGATTTCCTTAATAATACAGTCTTTCTTCAACTTCACTAGGAACATAACTATGAAAAATGGGCTAAATTAAAAATGAATAGTTTAAAAGTCTTTTAAATTATCCACTAAATGATTGAATACAATCAATCATAAATAAATATCAATGTAACCAAATCAATCGGCGGAAGTAATACTAGTATTAACTGTTACATCTAACTAGATCATTTCGAACCTTAATCTCCTCACTGTTTCTGCCTTTAGATATGCAGGGAGAGGTACTTTGGAGCTAGTTAATGGGGTTAATACTGTAGGTTAGTTAGCATAATATTGAGGGCAGTGAAATTATCCTATTTATTGTCTGGGAAAAGAAAAGACATTTACGGTAGAGACCTCTATATCCGATTATTATTTAACACTAAAGAGTACATGGATAAATATGAATGGTTGAATCACAACGCACAATAAATAAAATAATACATTAAATGTCACAATAGGGCATTTACGGTATAAAAATAGGATCTAAGGCTCGTGTTTAAATTACAATAAGTTCGTGATGAAAACAGATACGATAACTACTTCAATGCAATAGTGTTTAATGGCCTTTATGATTTTATGCTGCATTAATAAGCCAATTACTATTCAATAAGTTAACTGATAGGAATCATCCTTAAATATTTTTATTCTAATCATTTACTTGAATCAATCAAATTTTCTATGGTTGGTTTATTCTCAAAAAATTTTTAGCTCATCGCCAATCCTACGAAACAGCCATTCAACCCTCCGAAGATTTAAATTCACAATCAACTCATTCGTAAGTGACCCTTTAAACAGATGGTTCTTATTTATTTAACAAATTATTATTCTAATGAGAATCATTGCTGCTATGCTGTATTTTCAATTATCAAGAGATTATTGAATCTTCATTTTTTTGGATTTATAATTTTCCCTACTTGTGTAGTGTTCTGTTTCCCATTTATCTTTCAAATGTATTCCGATTTCATTATATCCACTCTAAACTAGACAAAAATGAAGTAAACATTCCTTATACTTATGTGGATAAAAAAATCTTAAATCAATCTTCTAACTGTTCGTAATTTATCATTATCGTCATATGTAAATACTGTTTGTTTTGTTCAGTCTTCAGAATTCGGTTATCCATATTAGTACACTTACTTAAACTTCAAAACCTTGAAAGATTCACCTTTTCAATTTAGTGTATTTGAAAAGATATCTGTTGTTTCTTGCTTCTGAAACATAATTTTAATTATATCATGCTATTCAATGTTTATTTGTCTACCTTTTATCTTACTGTTAATTGCTACTCCTCATCTTTATAATTTTACAAACTGTTAATATGCTTCGGTAATATGCATTGATATTTATTGAATATTATTACGAATAAATGCGGAGTGGTGGTTTAGTCTTCAAGGCTTTTGACTTCCGGCCATTAATTTCCGGGTTCGAACCACGCTCCATCTACTTCGGTTTGGGAAGCTGGCTGGTAGCATTAGCTCTCATGCTCATATTCAATTGCCTAATGAATGAGTTAATTTACTTACCTATTATTCTATTATCTCAGTCACCGATCAGGAAGTTCATACTCCGTAACATAACTTAGTCTGAACAGTCATTGCTCTCATGCTCACTGATTCCATATCTTCATTTAATCTGTTCCGTATCACATGATATTTATCATTTTTTTCAAAACATTTGATATAATGATTCTTTGTTAATTCGTTACTGTTGTTTTAGCATATGCAATTCTTCTGTTGATCATCAATGTACAATATCAAATTCTTCGGATGTCCAGGTATGGCACTAAATAATTCAAATTTTTTGTTCTCACTTTAAACCCTATCTTTGCACATATTTGTGTATAGATGAAGTTTCTCTTGAATGTTCTGTTAATAGCATTCCAAACGGCATTTTAGAAATCAAGTGTATTTTACTGAAGCAAACATAACGGCTGAATTCTAAAATTAGTTATTCCTGTACTGTTAAAAATTCATTACGAAAATTCTCTTTTAATGATTCGTTGGGTCTGTCAAAAGTCACAATCAATAATAATAACGTTTTAATGATGAAGCAATAGGATTTGTATAATAGAATTCTTCTATAAAACGTTTTGATACTATCTTGAGATTTTTTATAAAATTACAAAACAGCTAGTCTTTGGGATTTGAGAGTTAAGTGTATTTGTGCCCTCTGTTCCTTCAGCAATATTTTCTAAGTGACAACATTTTATTATCTATATTTATGTAGCTGTTTTAATATTATTTGACTGCAACACTAATCAAAGAGGGATTCATTTTAATCACCTGTGTCGTCGACCTAGTCACTTTACTGTTTGAGCTGCACTAAGTACCTCAACCGTGTATTCGTCTATTTCTACGTAAATCAATCGATCGACTAGAAACATCTCAGACAATCTAAATTAAATACGTTTTATTCCCCGTAACTCAAGATGATTTTTTATATGTGAATGTTTGAAATTTATTGTTTGCCCATACATACAGTCAACAAAATAGGTGATCATTATTATTATTATTTTAAATCCTTGTACTTTTCCATGTTCTCACTCTGGTATACGTATTTAGTTAGATTAGTTGTAGATTACAACCGTCGTGTACATTATTAATTTATTCGCTTTATTAAACCAACAGTGAGTTCATTTATCAAGGGTTTTTGTTAATTCTCACTACTAACAAATAATTAAATACATCGCCCAGATTTCTCGGCTATGTGCTATGTGACTTCTTTATTGTATTAAGCTTCATTCCTAATTATGCTTTGATTTCTGTGTTCCTTTTGTTTCCGCTTATTTCATTATCGATTTATTAATTGTGTTCTGTAGGATTTTGTTATTCGACCTGAAGCATTTCACAAGTCTCTATTTCCTGAAATTGTATATAAAGATAACATTAATGATCTTCCTGTACTACAACATGCTGAACCTGTTGCAGTAAATGCTGAAGATGATGATGATGGCTTAGATGAAAATATTGACAATACTGAAAACTCGTTTGAAATTGTTATTAGTTCATCTCAGTGTAATACATCATTTAATCCACTGATCACTTTACCTGTTCCGAAAGGATTGAATGTTGTGGCTGGTAAGTTGAAAGATTATCCAAAATATTATTGCTTAATTACAAAAAAAATACTTCACTTTCCTTTTTAATCTTATGTCGATTGAAATATAGGCACTCATATAAATTGATCTCATTTTATTACTACATTTAAATAATCACAGATACATAGTTCGTATTTTAAGTAATTATTCCAACTAGTATTAATTAATTTTCATTTCATGTTAAATACTTTGAATTGAATTTATCATATCTCCCTACTGTGTATACCATCAATTTAACATCATATAAGTAGATAGTAACATGCATAATTAATTCTGTAAATTAATAAATGAACTATTCAGTTGATGCATTTTACATAATATTTCTTATTATCATACAAACCTATACATATTATGAGTAGTGTTTGTACAGTGTGTTGTATTATTTAATTTTATTAAAGTATTCATCATGTTTATTCTGTATATTTTTTCATTATTTATTTAATTGTTTTATTTATTCACATTAATAATGAAAATAATATTGTACACTATAATTATAAAGAATAATTGTTCCATGTTTATTTTTATTATTTCCTTGTTTGTACTTAAATACTTTTCGACTATTCAATTTTTCTATTGTTAAAAATGAACCGTATTTACTTTTGTTGTTGTTGTTGTTGTTGAAATATGATCCTTTAATAAAATGCTTCATTTTTATTTTATTGTCGTTTTCTTTTCACTCGAAATTCTATTGCTTTCTTTTTTTACTTAAGTCATTTGTCCTCTGAAACATTGAACATTCTTTTCCTTTAGTAGTGCATTTTATATTTATCAAGATGTTCAATAAAGTCATTTATTATCCTTGTTTGTGTGTGTGTATATATATATATATGTCTAGTGATTTCCCAGATATAATGCTTGTTTGATTATCGTCAAGATATAATTATTCATTGTTCATTTCGTTTTATGTCAACCTATGCTTGAAGTCAATCCTTTTTTTTCAATTACAAAAAAAACTGAAATGTCATGCAATTGTAATGCATTATGCATAAGTTCACATAATAATATATTGTTATATGTTTAATATTAATGTAAGTCATAACAATATTATTGATGTAAGTTAGTGTTATATCTTGAAAGCAAATAACTGTATTTACATAAGCTTTTTATGTTAACTCCCAACATTTTTGTCACAATAGTCATTTTTAAGCTACTTAATATATTCACTAGTAAAAACTATGATAAAAGTAATACATTGATTAAGTAATGTGAACTTTGGATTTCTCTTCATTTATAATCTTCTTTGTTATGGGAAAAGAATATTCACTGACAAAACACTGGTTGTTCATTGTTTTTATTAAGCTATATACTAATGTTGGTGTCTGATAAGTTTGGTCTATGCACGTTAGTACCATATTGTACGTTGTTTATAACTGACTCAGTCAGTCAGCTACAACGTAGGACCAGACACATATATGCATCGGTCCAAGTTGCCATACCTCATTAACACAACAAGATGGACACCGGATTCATAAAAGTTAATTCAGAGGTGGAATATACATAAGAAAGATTGCAATAAGGATAAAGTACAAGAAGAAAGGATTAGTTCGTAGAAAGAAAGATATGAAGTGATTTTAATCTCTTAGTTTAAGGGAAGATAGAGAGTGTATACACCGACGCCATTGTGATCGATTCTGAGTCATGTCACCAAGTCTCCAACCATTGGTTACGATGCCTCTAACAGCACTCAAGTTATAATTGACTGGGTGAATTTAAACGTTGTACACTACAAGACGAGTAAGATTATCTCTTATGGACAAAATATATGTTTGAATATTCTGTGTATTTTCATTGATTTAAATTCTCTGCATGTTGCAAATTTTCAATTCCCAAAAAACATTTCACTGGTTACTTTGGTAGTTTACTTTATAGATTTTAATTTCATATTCGTTGCTACAAATCTCTGTGCAGAAATCATCTTTTTTTACCGCGATCAAAGATCCTTTTTCAATGGCATTACGCGTATATATTTGTGCGTATGCCCTCTCTCTTTCATCCCTACCGAACAATTCTTTATCATAAAACCCGTCTTACGGGAGTAGGTGGGTCTAGGGAAGAATAAGGAATTCTGATGTCTACGTATCAGAATCGAAACTGGGAGTTATTACATCCAGTTCACAATGCATTAACTTGTTTTAGCATGAAATTGTTCCTTTTTACATAATACAGTCATATTTTGTAATTGAACTTTCCACACTGTAGAGATAAACTCTCAGCTTTGTAGCAGTAAAAACTACAAATAAAGATTCCTGACAATTTTTTATTTATCCCGGGTTAAAATACTACTTTCTGTTTATCGATGTTTCGTTTAATGTATTACAAATAGTTCTCTTTCTTTGATATATAGTTGAAATATTCAAACGTTTCCTTCATCAGATGTTTAAAAGATTTCCCCATTCCTTATGTTCTTTCTTCAAATGATAGATTTTTTATGATACATTTTAAGTAACTTAACGAATAAACGATACACTTATACGTTTATAATGCGACGAATAGTTCAACATTCCTGTTTGAAATTTGTATAATATTCAACAAATAAACAATGATTACTTAACATTACTATTTTTTGATTAATTACAAGCAAAACGTATCCATGGATTCTGTTTCCCATAAATATCATGATTCGTTACAACACAATATGAATTCCATTGAACTGGAAATATTGATTAGCCGATTATGATATTTGTTATCAGTCATTTTTCACTGTCAGATATCTAAGTATATGTAGTGTTTCTTTGTGTTTACTGCAATATAGTGTGTAGGGGAAAATTCGTTGATTCAACCAAAACCTTCTCATTTCTTTTTTCTTGTATTACATACTACTTTTGTAGTTTGAGTTTTATCTAATTTATCATATTTTGATAGGTAATCTTTATCTTTAATTTTATAATACATTTTTTCGCTTTTAACAGTTGATGACGATGGAGTTCATATTTTCGAAGATGGTAACTTTCTGTACGCTCTTCCTGGCTTAACTGATAAGTATTCAGATGATTCAGATTTTTATGACTCACGTGAGGATGTTACCAATATTTCCGACTTAATATCTCCTTCATATACTGCTGAACAAGTAAACGATGAAGAAAATGTTAAAACAAATATGGACAAAATCCTTTCAGTATCTTCATCATCTAATTCACCAAAATCAATAACTACAAGGAAATTAGTCAATAAACGTTCAGGTAGCAGTGATAGTCTGGTCAAACAACCGAGAGTTCGATTTAGTTCCGAACCAATTTTGGTAAGATTTTTTCATGGATTCTACAATATATTTTTTCATTTTGTTAACATAGACTGCTCTCTGTAAGTTCAAGCTTTCTTGTTAAAGCTAGTGGTACAAGAATTGTCGACTGTTTGACACTTAAAGAATTATAACTCAAAATAGTTTACATTATGGGAGACTCTGCCATCCGTTACCTTCCTCTAGATCTTCAATCTTACATTATTTTGTGTTACATTCCTTCTTTTCGTAATTTGTTAAATATTATTTTTTGTTTCGTTCTCTACTACTACTGGGACCACTGAATTTCCTCTACAGATTTTTCGGTGATATCTCTCAAAATATGAGAACCCTGAACCATTACGAATCTCCATAAATCTTACTTCACTTCTGTCCGTTGTAAACCAACTACGATAATTACAACAAATGATAAGCTAAAATAATTGTTTGTATTTTGAAAAATATAAAGTGGTGCCAACTTAATGTTATCTCGTTTGACAGTAGGATAAATCTAGACTAAATATACTGTAGTTGCTTCAGTCCAATTTTTATTCATAAAATAGAATGTGGTAGATTTATAGTAATTTTTAGGAATTTTTGATTCAGAGTTTTGACTTCGTTGCCACTAATCAATAAATGGTTATCACGAACTTTGAGGAAACTGATACTCCTTGCAGGTTTACAACCCGTTACCATTTGTCAAAGATGTTGCTACTAGTTTTTTTTTGGACACAACAGACTTTATTTAAAGTTCACTGGTCCCTAGTGGTAATCGAATCCTATCGACCAAGTCGCAAAATGACTACCAATTCATAAGTCCCTCGGCTACTCTTCTTCAATTACATGACATCTTGCATAGAACATACCACTCCATTTAGGTTAATGATAGTTCAAGTTGATTGTTGTAATGTGAATGTCGGTTTGGGCACCCGGGCAGTATCACAGCCCTTACACATATCGAATGAGATTTGTGTGGTGCGTATGTATTCGGTGCCTCCTTGTACCAATATCTATGTGTTAAAATAAATAAATAAAGATAATAAAATATTGATCACTAGTGGTTGAGCAATTAATACGTGAACTAGGTATCATTGTTCAGTGAATGCTTCATGGTGTTGAACTATTAACTATCAGTTTTTGTCTTAATATGTACAATATTTTTCAAAAAGTTACTTGTACATGTGCATTCTAACTAAACAATCGGATATATCTAGTTCTATTTATCCATCCTAACGTTGGACAGTTTTTTGTTTATCGAATATCTGATGAAAAGAACTGTGTAACCTATATTTGTAACATTTTGTAGAATAGACTTTTAAAAAATCGATTGAAATAGGTTGTTCCACCGAAACAATAATTTTAATGTAACCTATTTTTTTTAATGTTATTCTGAAAACAAATTGATCAGGGTTTTGTACATATTATAATCAGTTTTAACAATCTAATTTTTATGTTTATTATCTATCAACTTATAAAGTATGATTTAATGAAATTACTATGTTTGGTCTAAGTAGTAGATTATTTTCAGCCCTCGGTATTTCTTTGCTGAATTCTTTATTTGTCTCAGTTTACAAATTCTATTGTCATGGTCAAGAAAAATTTACACATTATATAGATTGAAAAATTTAATATTTTGTAACGTTTGTTATATGATATAGTTAAACATTGACATTGTATCAATTAACTTTATGTTATGTATGCAAGTGTGCGCTCTCATCCACACACTTTCATTCACTAAGGAATTACAATCCATGGTTAGAGGATTAAATATCTAGTTATTATTGATTAGTGAAATGCATGAACATAAGGTTTTCGACTACTGACTTCATTTTATCAAGAAAAAAGGTCAATTCTGTTTGTATGATACAAAAAATCAACAGTGCCATTAAGAAATATCAATCATTGCGTAACATTAGTAAATTCAGGTTTTTAAAAATGAGTTCGTATTGTAATTTCTGGCTTTTATTGAACCAGGATAACATATTTATACAGTTAATTTACTGTGCATTTGTCAGCTATTTTACAGCTGGTATCAGTTTATCTTACAAAAAAATCATTTAATTATAGAAATCTTCAAAGAAAGCTCACGTGTATAATATTCATGTATTATAAATTTGAATAATCAGTTCAGTGTTATATTTTTAATAGTTGAAATCATGAGTCAATTGAAGCTAGACCACCATGTAAAAACCTGAAAGCACTGGTGATTTAGCTTCAATCGACTCATGATTTCAACTATTGAGATTTCTAAAAATCTCCACAAAACCCCTTCTGATATTATATCTTCCCTAATTTTGTATTTTACACTACTCGTTAATTGAATGATTTTATAATGTGTACCTTTCATATTAACTGATTTTATTTGAATATATAGATTTCTGTTGTTAAACACATCATAAATATCATTAATAGTTGTTTCCACAGGTCTACGTAATTGATAACTATATTAACAACTGACCTTGAAGCAACCGACTAGATAATCATTGTATTCAGTAACTAGTGCATAATTAATATTTTTGTTTAGTGATTCATAGGAGAACAATTTTTACTTGTAACATCATTTCATTTTTATTTGGTGTAAATCAGATTCAATGCAAATTTATTGATTGTTCATCTGAATTCCGCTTGTAAATGTACGCTTACAGTTCGGCATATTACACCATTAATGCTTAACTTTTTCACTTTTTACACCTTTTATACTTACCTGTTTGACTGAAAATTGATGCTTTTTTACTCAGTTTTTTTGTTCGAACACTATTACAAATTAAAATGTTTGTTATACATTTGATGATTAGGAATAACTTTCTCGACCGTTGTTGCTACCTTGACGTGGTGGACGGGCTTGCCTATCGTGATGAAGCAACCGAGCTATACTGGCTGGAAAAACCGTTCCTCAAGGTCCTACCATGTCAGACAGGTCGGTTGAAGAGCGGTAAGACTAAAAGCAACAAACCCAAGGTCCGAAGGCGAAGTCGTACTGCTGACTGTACAGAGGTGTGACAGCAGTAAGGTGTTTCCTTCAGACAACCAGCATGACAGCGATGCTGCCTTCCCACAAGGAGGGGGGGGTTAGAAAAGGTCGACCCTAAAAATGCACACCTCGCCTTATCCCACGGATATCCGTCTCCGGCGGTAAGGTCTCAATAAGTACGGAGCTAACACAAAAATTACCCATAAAAGGTCGTGTGTGACCGACCTCAAGCAGTTGTCCCTTGGGCACTGCGGTCACGCTCTCAGGTCACTAAGACCACCTCTAATCCAATTTCCTTTTCAGGTACCTCCAGAAGAACCCTTCCACGGTGTGGGCAACCGGGAAGTGATAACCGCCCTCATACTTCTAACAGCACTCAAGACCACTGTATTCATAATCAACCTCCTCTTCAATTCCTATTATTCCTCCTACATCGACTTTCAACTCTAAACTTCCTTCTTCGGCTTCCCCCTCAAGTGTCACCATAGCCAACGATTCTAGTGCGCAAAACACTGTCCCAGGTCTACTGAAACCTCGCTCCAAACTACACATTGGAGCCTTCAACGTACGCACCCTATGTCAAATCGGTCAGCAGGCTTCCTTGGCTAAAACCCTAGAGTCTCTTTCCATTGATGTATGCTGTGTCTCCGAAACACGCATACAGGATTCCAGTGTGGTCATTCACTTGACCTCACCTCGGCAAGACGGAGAGCCAACGAGATACACCCTTCGTGTATCTGGTGACCCGATGGCAGTTCTCGTGGACTGGCAGGTGTAGGCATAGCACTAAGCATGAGGGCCGAACAAGCACTGCTAGAGTGGATCCCCGTCAACAGTCGTCTATGTGCTGTTCGGCTGAACGGCTACGTAAGAACTCGGAAGGATAGGGACACACGTCGTTGCCTTTTTGTCGTTTCTGCCTACGCTCCCACTGACTGCAGCTCAGATGAAGTGAAAGATGAATTTTACAGAAAGCTCCGAACTTCTTCAGAAAGCTAAACGCTCAGACATAGTACTCGTAGCAGGTGATTTTAATGCTCAGATAGGTAGTTTAAACCAAACAGAAAGGCATTTAGGTGGATATTTTAGTATTCCGACACAGCGAACAGATAATGGTGATCGTCTGCTGCAGCTATGCTCAGACAATCGTTTATTTTTAGCAAACACAAATTTTAAGCATAAGGAGAGACATCGTCTAACATGGCGACCCCCTACACCAAACCAACGATGGACTCAAATAGACCATATTGCCATCAGTCATCGTTGGAGAGGGTCGGTAGAAGATTGTCGCTCATTCTGGAGTACCTGCTTGGACTCCGACCATGCCCTAATACGGGCACGCATCTGCTTGCGCCTCACTGGACGCAAAAAAGCCACATTAAAAAGACCCATTAGAACTGAGTTGAGTAACGAGAAAACCAAAAGTAGGTTCCAGGAACAACTGAGGTCACACTTAGGTAGTTGTGAAGACGAGGCTGACCCAGATGTTGCTTGGAAGGATATACAAGCAGCTGTGGAAACAGCAGTGACATCTATTAGTGACTTAAACCACAGAGTTACAAAGAACCAGTGGATTTCTTCAAGGTCTGTCACACTGATGGATTCTCGCAAACTCGTCCCATCAGGTTCTGAACATGATGAAGAGCGACAACAAATCAGATCTAGGTTAAGAAAAAGTCTAAGGAACGACCGTGAGCAGTGGTGGGTAACGAAAGCAAAAGAGATGGAAAAGGCGGCGACTATAGGGAACACAAGACAGCTTTACAGACTAATAAAAGAAACTGGAATTAATAAGTCAAGTGTAAGTGAGATTATTTCGGAAAAAGACGATACTCTCATCTGCTCCCAGTCCAGACGTTTAGAACGATGGGCGGAACATTTTAGAGAACAGTTCAGCTGGCCTTCAGCTACTCTACAACTACCCTCCATTCCCAGACAGTGTGAATGGAACATTGAAGTAGGTCCCCCAACTCTTGCTGAAGTTCAAAAGGCTATAGTTAATCTGAAACGAGGAAGGGCAGCTGGTCCAGATGGACTGGCTCCAGAGGTCTTTAAGGATGGTGGTCCAATTTTAGCGATTAGGTTGACTAATATTTTAGCTAAGATCTGGGAGTTAGACGTTATCCCATCTGACTGGTCGCAATCACTTATCGTCCCAATATATAAGAAAGGGTCAAAATCATCCTGTGACAACCACAGAGGGATTAGTTTAACAAATATAGTATCTAAAATACTAGCCTCGATAATTATCAGACGCCTAACTAAGACTCGTGAACTGCAAACACGAGAGAACCAAGCTGGCTTTAGACCTGGTCGTGGCTGCATCGACCACATATTCACCATTCGTCAGGTTCTAGAACACAGGCATACTTATCGGCGTCCGACAATGGTGGTCTTTCTTGACTTAAAAGCAGCATTTGACTCTGTAGACCGCGAGATTCTGTGGCAGTGTCTGTCATTGAAAGGCGTACCTCAGAAGTACATAAACCTTGTGAAGGCTCTTTACTCGAACACTACTAGTCGAGTCAGGGCTTATGGCGAACTGTCATCTACTTTTGCAACCTCAAGTGGTGTCCGTCAAGGCTTTCTCCATTTTTGTTTAACTTCATCATAGACCTATTGATGGAAATAACACTCTCGTCGACTGAATTCTCGGGTATTGATCTCCTTCCAGGAGGTCCACTTATCGACTTAGAATACGCAGATGACATAGTCCTGTTTGGTGAAGACGCTGACAAAATGCAGAGTCTTCTGGTAGCACTAAGCAACAATGCCAGAATGTTTGGAATGCGCTTCTCTCCCTCTAAATGCAAGTTGTTGCTTCAGGACTGGTCTGCGTCAACACCTGAACTAAGGATAGGGAGTGAAGTAGTCGAACGCGTTGACAACTTCACTTATCTTGGAAGTCTGATCAGCCCTAATGGGTTGGTGTCTGACGAAATCTCAGCACGGATTCGAAAAGCTCGTTTGGCTTTTGCCAACTTACGTCACCTGTGGCGAAGGCGAGATATCCGTCTATCAATAAAAGGACGAGTATACTGCGCGGCAGTCCGTTCTGTTTTAATTTACGGCAGCGAAACATGGCCATTAAGAGTAGAAGACACTCGTAAGCTACTAGTATTTGACCACAGATGCCTTAGAAATATTGCTGGCGTCTGCTGGGATCACCGGGTAAGTAATAGTGAGGTTAGACGCAGGGTATTAGGGAATGATGGTAAATCAGTTGATGAGGTTATGAATCTTCATCGACTGAGATGGTTGGGCCACGTGTTACGTATGCCTGAACACCGATTACCACGACGTGCAATGCTAACCGGTATTGGAGATGGTTGGAAGAAAGTTAGGGGCGGCCAAACCAAAACGTGGCATCAGTGCTTGAAGTCACTAACTTCTAGTCTGAGCCATGTTGGTAGATGCAGACTACTTGGTTGGGGTCCGCGTGACTTTCGTAACCAATGGTTGGAGACTCTTGGTGACATGGCTCAGAATCGATCACAATGGCGTCGGTGTATACACTCTTTGTCTTCCCTTAAACTAAGAGATTAAAATCGCTTCATATCTTTCTTTCTACGAACCAATTCTTTCTTCTTGTATTATATCTCTATATGCAATCTTTCTCTTATATATTACCACCTTTGACCTAACCACTCCTATGAATCCGATGTTCATCTTGCTGTGCTAATGAAGTATGGCAACCTGGACCGATGCATATATGTGCCTGGTCCTACGTTGTAGCTGACTGACTGAATAACTTTATCATAGTTATTATATTAGAGTTAAATGTTTTTCGTATGTTAATCTTAATTAATTTAAACTCAACTTTCATGTGTATTTAAGTACCTTGATTTAAGTTGTGGGAATGCTCACAATAGGTATCCAACCTTAGGTGAATAATTAAAATGCCATACCGGTGACTTAGCATATCATTCATCTATCAGGTACTTGGTCGTCCCTTGTAATGTTACTCCTTGCTTCGAGCAACTGATTTTGTATCTTTTATCCATCATAATCACTACGTATCAGTAGATATATCTTTCTAAAACAAGTGTTGATCGTAGTTGTCATAGTGTTATGGTCACTTCGGGTTCGTTCATATGCTGATATTGATAACAATTGATAGTTGCATTATATTTAAATGTTGGGATTACCATTTGTAGAATGAATTAATTACATTCTGCGATGCAAATATTTATGTAAACTTGCTTTATTACTCGAAGTGGTGTGTGCATCTTTGTTAGCTTATATTGATTTGTACCTCACGTTTTTTGTTATTGTTCCAAATAACCTTTTTAGTAATAACAACTTTTCTGCCCTTTTTGTCCCTAATAATTTCACTCCTTTCGAACATTAGCTTCAAAATAATACACCACTAATGCTTACTTCTCGTAAAAGTGGGGGCTAAATCAACATGCTCTGATGACCTTGTTTGTAATTGGTTGTCCTCATTTAATCCTGTATTCAATTTAACTGTGTTGTTCTACTGACCTCTAATCATGTGGATGATCAACCCTTTTGGAACGAGTCGATGAATCGGGTCTATCTCTATTTGTTTGTTGATTCCTGGCTGATCTGAATAACTTGCTTCTAGAGGTTCTCTGACGTTCTTAAAATTCCAACGATCCAAAATTTGGATGTTTCTTCAGTCGAATTCATATCTGTGGTTGTTTACATACGTTGATATGAGTGATAACATATCGTGTCGTCTCAGCGTTAGTTCGTGTTCGTATATGCGCAAGTGATGGGGATGTCCACTTCTAGATTTTTAATAAAATGAATATTAGGACAACCTTAATTGTGTCTCTTTTTCCCTGAGGAAAATTTATTGCTGTTACACAGGCTTAATTTCATTTGGAAATTCAGAAATTTTAATTTCCGTTCCACTTACCTTGTTTTGAAAAATCGGTTAGTATCACTGTCCATCATACATCTAGTGTGTGACTTAAAGACAGATACACGAACCAATACTTTGTAAGTAATTTAATTTACACTGTATTATAATATTGTATTTGGCAAAATAGATTCATTGGTATTAAATAATTTTATAAAAATAGAAAACAGAAACTGTACAAATTCTTAAACTTTAAGCTTAACAATTATGAAATTTTTCTATTGTAGTGTCGGTTACTATGTTAAACCCATATACCTTATTCTAACTTTCGGACATCCCATTCTATTCACTCTACTTGAGTCACATGCCGACCTTGTTATCTATTCGCTTATCAATCTTGACTGTTTTTATATGAGCGCGTAGGTGTGTGTACATTTCTTATCCCATTACCCATCACATGTCTGTAACTTACTTTTGTGTAACTATAACGCTTGGTTAAATGGGAGTTGACTTACCAGCCATATCCACTCTGCGTCCTTTCTCTTCTCTCTATTCATTTCGCTTCATATACAAAATATATGTATTCGAAAGTCCATTCTCGTCATTTGACTTATTTAATTCCGTTATTGACTAACGCGATTTAAGTCGATGATTATATACAAGGATAGGTGATAACAAACATTCATTACAATCTCCTTGGTGTCAGATTCACGGGCCACTAAACTATAAAGAACGTGAGAAAATTTTTTGAAGAAAGTCTGTTGTCGGACAATTTGTATTGAAATAGTTCAGTGATTGTAAATTAATAAGACGATATACCTAGAGATATTATAAACAGATGAAGATATGGTAAATATCAGTTAATTTGAAGAAAACTGTTAGAAACAGAATTTTTTACTTGACTTCTTTTGATGTTGTACTTACGTTACTCAAATCGTGTGTAAATTCTACAACTTGGTTATTTATTAGTGATCATGATGAACTACAACTACATTTTTATCAAATTCGATCGTATTTTTGGTAAACACTGGATATTGTTTGATATTTCCCTTATATATATGTATGAGCAAAGATATCTTTACCTCAAAATGTTTGACTGACATTACATTTTCAATTCTATTTCATTCGAGGTTGATAATTTTTTCCCCTAATACTAGAAGTTATCTAGAATGTTTCATACCGGTTTACCAAATGTTAAGCAAATATTTGAATGTATCATGCGTTTATATACAGACAATACCCTCTAAAAGTACACCGGTGTTCTGCTTTTCATATATGTAGGTTTATTTTTCGAAAATCTTTTCAGTTCTTACTAATTCCCAAAAATATTGTTGCCACATATGTATCTAGTAATGTTCTCCATTTTTGTACCTCTGTTGTAGGTGTTCAGTACTCATTCCACTACAGATTATAATCGTAGAAATGAAGAAATAGATCCATTGTCTGCTTCAGCAGAATATGAATTAGAAAAACATCTTGAAGATATGGATATGTTTGAAATCGATTTCCGTAAAGGTTTGTTTCTTTCTATATCATGTGTATGTAAGACCAAAACCATATGCTGTGGATTTGTGTTCACTTGTTTTACTTCTATTTTTCTCTCTCATGCCTTGTGTGTATGCGGATTTTGTACTATGTTAGACATTTTTCATCGTTCAAAGTTACCATTACATGGGTTTACGGCAACATAAGTGACAACCCTGCACCTTATATTAATGTTCACATATAAATCACACGGTAAAGTTTAAGTATATTAAAGCTTGCATAAGGCCAAATTATTTGTGATTGTTAAGTCTACGCGATTCAACGAATGACCTTTATTCCCTTTTTTATTTTTAATCGAGTTTTTATGTCGAAAAAAAATTTCACCAGTTTCAGCCTTTATCGTAACTTATACATCACTACATTGTTTGTTGAAGCATAAACATAAATCAGTTTTTCTCTAAAGCATTTCGTATTAGATTATGTTGTAACGGGTGTGTGTGGACTGCAGGTTATGCTAGACAGCGTTTATATCGATCGATTACAGTAGACACGGAAAACACATATGGACGACCTAGTGCCCTGATTGGTCCCGCTTCGCAGTCTGTCCTAGCCAGTTGAGTCAAGAACGCAAGTCACAGCCTCTGAGTTATGAATCGTTGTATTTCAGACATACTTTGTTTATATACCAATCAAGCACACCACATCGTACCATAAAATAGGAAACAACATTTACAAAATATTTAACAAGTGAAATAAACATCGACCAATAAGAAGTGTACATTTAAGGTCCAAGGACACCATAGACTTAACACGATAATTATTGGTATATTTTTCCGACTATCCTAACACCTCCCCTTTTTTGAAAGATCCGGAGTTAATATCTGGACTTTAAAATTTTCTGCGTCCGTCCTCCCCCGCGAAATAACGTTGGGTCCTCATATACCCAAGCAACAATCAGTCTGATTCTATTTAAAGCATATTTCACGCATTGAGTAGAGGGTTCACTAAAACTGACTAGATGATAAGGATTAGCGACACCAGACATGACGTCATTAAGGTTTGATTTTTGTGCAACATATCCTTCAGACCTCTTCAAAATGCGATCACTGGATAATAGGTCACCAAAACAAACAGCATCTTTGAAATTCATATCAGATTTCTGACCATCATTTGATGCACGGGAAACATTTCCTGGCACGAGAGGTTCTTCTTGTAACCTGGATACCTCACATGTTTCAGGCACAGTGGGATTTGAACCCACAACAGGGCATACTTCTGAATTGGACAATTCTGGATCTCTGGATGGATCATGAGCGACTGCCTCGTTTGCATTACTGATCGTAAGGGATTCATAGAGGCTTTTGTTTTCATCTTCATATGTCCTGCAGTCATTCTCGAGTTCAGTATGCAGGTGAGAAATTAATTCGTCAATCTCTTTCACATCTCCGAAACACGGGAGATTTAGCAGTCGCGTGCGCATATAGTCCAAAACATTCAACTGGCTCTCTTGTAACGATCTAGTAGTATCTGCAATTGATCGGAGGGGATAGTCATTTTCTGAATCAGCAGAGTAATGAGAAATACTGTAATCAACTAACAACCAATGACTCCCAAGGACGCCGACGAAAAATCTGGATACTGATTGGTCAGAACAATTATACTGAATCTCGTCCAATTACAGGGTTCAAAATTCTCTCTACCCCGTCGCCAATTGTTGTAACGGGAGCGTGAGACTGCAGGGTTTGATAAGCAGCGTATTTATCGATCGGAGTACAGTGGACACGGAAAACACATATGGACGACCTAGTGCCCTGATTGGTCCCGCTTCGCAGTCTGTCCTAGCCAGTTGAGTCAAGAACGCAAGTCACAGCCTCTGAGTTATGAATCGTTGTATTTCAGACATACTTTGTTTATATACCAATCAAGCACACCACATCGTACCATAAAATAGGAAACAACATTTACAAAATATTTAACAAGTGAAATAAACATCGACCAATAAGAAGTGTACATTTAAGGTCCAAGGACACCATAGACTTAACACGATAATTATTGGTATATTTTTCCGACTATCCTAACACCTCCCCTTTTTTGAAAGATCCGGAGTTAATATCTGGACTTTAAAATTTTCTGCGTCCGTCCTCCCCCGCGAAATAACGTTGGGTCCTCATATACCCAAGCAACAATCAGTCTGATTCTATTTAAAGCATATTTCACGCATTGAGTAGAGGGTTCACTAAAACTGACTAGATGATAAGGATTAGCGACACCAGACATGACGTCATTAAGGTTTGATTTTTGTGCAACATATCCTTCAGACCTCTTCAAAATGCGATCACTGGATAATAGGTCACCAAAACAAACAGCATCTTTGAAATTCATATCAGATTTCTGACCATCATTTGATGCACGGGAAACATTTCCTGGCACGAGAGGTTCTTCTTGTAACCTGGATACCTCACATGTTTCAGGCACAGTGGGATTTGAACCCACAACAGGGCATACTTCTGAATTGGACAATTCTGGATCTCTGGATGGATCATGAGCGACTGCCTCGTTTGCATTACTGATCGTAAGGGATTCATAGAGGCTTTTGTTTTCATCTTCATATGTCCTGCAGTCATTCTCGAGTTCAGTATGCAGGTGAGAAATTAATTCGTCAATCTCTTTCACATCTCCGAAACACGGGAGATTTAGCAGTCGCGTGCGCATATAGTCCAAAACATTCAACTGGCTCTCTTGTAACGATCTAGTAGTATCTGCAATTGATCGGAGGGGATAGTCATTTTCTGAATCAGCAGAGTAATGAGAAATACTGTAATCAACTAACAACCAATGACTCCCAAGGACGCCGACGAAAAATCTGGATACTGATTGGTCAGAACAATTATACTGAATCTCGTCCAATTACAGGGTTCAAAATTCTCTCTACCCCGTCGCCAATTGTTGTAACGGGAGCGTGAGACTGCAGGGTTTGATAAGCAGCGTATTTATCGATCGGAGTACAGTGGACACGGAAAACACATATGGACGACCTAGTGCCCTGATTGGTCCCGCTTCGCAGTCTGTCCTAGCCAGTTGAGTCAAGAACGCAAGTCACAGCCTCTGAGTTATGAATCGTTGTATTTCAGACATACTTTGTTTATATACCAATCAAGCACACCACATCGTACCATAAAATAGGAAACAACATTTACAAAATATTTAACAAGTGAAATAAACATCGACCAATAAGAAGTGTACATTTAAGGTCCAAGGACACCATAGACTTAACACGATAATTATTGGTATATTTTTCCGACTATCCTAACACCTCCCCTTTTTTGAAAGATCCGGAGTTAATATCTGGACTTTAAAATTTTCTGCGTCCGTCCTCCCCCGCGAAATAACGTTGGGTCCTCATATACCCAAGCAACAATCAGTCTGATTCTATTTAAAGCATATTTCACGCATTGAGTAGAGGGTTCACTAAAACTGACTAGATGATAAGGATTAGCGACACCAGACATGACGTCATTAAGGTTTGATTTTTGTGCAACATATCCTTCAGACCTCTTCAAAATGCGATCACTGGATAATAGGTCACCAAAACAAACAGCATCTTTGAAATTCATATCAGATTTCTGACCATCATTTGATGCACGGGAAACATTTCCTGGCACGAGAGGTTCTTCTTGTAACCTGGATACCTCACATGTTTCAGGCACAGTGGGATTTGAACCCACAACAGGGCATACTTCTGAATTGGACAATTCTGGATCTCTGGATGGATCATGAGCGACTGCCTCGTTTGCATTACTGATCGTAAGGGATTCATAGAGGCTTTTGTTTTCATCTTCATATGTCCTGCAGTCATTCTCGAGTTCAGTATGCAGGTGAGAAATTAATTCGTCAATCTCTTTCACATCTCCGAAACACGGGAGATTTAGCAGTCGCGTGCGCATATAGTCCAAAACATTCAACTGGCTCTCTTGTAACGATCTAGTAGTATCTGCAATTGATCGGAGGGGATAGTCATTTTCTGAATCAGCAGAGTAATGAGAAATACTGTAATCAACTAACAACCAATGACTCCCAAGGACGCCGACGAAAAATCTGGATACTGATTGGTCAGAACAATTATACTGAATCTCGTCCAATTACAGGGTTCAAAATTCTCTCTACCCCGTCGCCAATTGTTGTAACGGGAGCGTGAGACTGCAGGGTTTGATAAGCAGCGTATTTATCGATCGGAGTACAGTGGACACGGAAAACACATATGGACGACCTAGTGCCCTGATTGGTCCCGCTTCGCAGTCTGTCCTAGCCAGTTGAGTCAAGAACGCAAGTCACAGCCTCTGAGTTATGAATCGTTGTATTTCAGACATACTTTGTTTATATACCAATCAAGCACACCACATCGTACCATAAAATAGGAAACAACATTTACAAAATATTTAACAAGTGAAATAAACATCGACCAATAAGAAATGTACATTTAAGGTCCAAGGACACCATAGACTTAACACGATAATTATTGGTATATTTTTCCGACTATCCTAACAGATTATTCATTGCTTACTACCTAGTCTCCATTTGTTTAGGGCCTAGTAGAGTATATAGATTTTACACGTAGATACTATATGACAAATCGATTCATTTTCATTTCTTCTACAACAATTTATTATCTGTTTATTTGTTTAATAGGATTATGTTGTCACATTTTGTTTTGTTGTCAATATCTGCTTTATTGTGATTTAAGAAATATCTTTAAAAGCTTACACAATTATCCTGCAAAAAGCTATTCTTTTTTGTTGTTGCGGCGAATATACTCTCAATGCTGTATAATCGCAAATATAGAATGTTTTCCAAAGTAATGATCAATAGTATGTCTGTTGATAATGATGATAATAAAGTTTACCGAACATGTTGTCAGAAATGCAGAATTAAGAGGAGCATGAAAACGTTATTCTTGCCAGAAAAGCCCAACTAAACATGCAGTGATTAAGAGCTTGAATACTTATCAATAAGATAGATAAAATTTGATAATT